GGGGAAGCGGCGTTGTGACCGAGTGATCAAGGGTCATGCTACCAGTGATGCCATGAGGCTATCAAGAACCTCCTGAGAGTATGAGCTGAGACACTTCTCCTGCGGTTTGTACCCAGCACTTCAGCCCACCAGGAGTAACACGTCAGAGAAGCTCAAGCCGAGGGGCATTTTACAAAATACTTTGCCAATACTCCTTAAATCTGTCAAAGTCATGAAAACAGGGAAAGACTGTCAATGCATTAAGGAGATAGGACGCCTACACAGCATACAGGCGAGCGGAGCGCAGCCTGGAACAGAAAAAGGACAGTAGTGAACAAAGCCTGGGGTGAATAGGAACATACGAATGCTGGTTCTAGTTGTGACACACGTACCACACCATGTAAGAAGCTAGCAGGAGGGAACGCTACACCGGTAAGGGCTATACGGGAACTCTCTGTACTGTCTTTACAACTTTTTTTCTAAGTCTAACCTTTTTTTGGTGACTATTTTTATGGGGGTGACTATTTTTAACATTGTAAAAATTTGCTACATTTTACAGAACTTGTCTTAGATATGGTAAGTGCGTCATACTTTGGTGATACAGAACGTTTTGTTTGCCTTTGTTTTTGAGTACCCAAGACAGCACTTCCAACAGATGATCTCTTTTTTCTCTTTTGAAGAATACATGTAGTATTTGAAGCATGTATGTGAGCAGGTAGCCAATCTCTAAGGAGCCCTGGTACTTTAGTAAGTTAGTTACTCATTGGGCTGCTAACTGAAAGGTCACCAGCTTAAAACCAGCAGCCGCACCAAGGGAGAACGATGAGGTTTGCTACTTCATCAAGAGTGGAGCCTCTGGCCCCGCAGGGGCAGTTCTACTCTGTTCCTCCAAGGGCCACTGAGTCCGAGTCAACTCGATGGCACCGAGTTAGGCGCCTCAATAAAAAGAACACAACTCCATACTTTCAAGGACTGATTAACAGTAAGATGGAAGTGCCAATATTGAACTCCTTAGTTTAAAAGGAGGAATTAGAGGACACTCATATTGTTTTGTGACGTAAAGTCACGCCCCAGCTTCCTTTCTGTAGGGTGCACTATAGTAGCCTCCACAATTCATATAGGAATTTCAGTCCCAAGCAAAACTACACAAGTAGCAAAAATGGAGAGCTCAAAATGGCTGCTAGGATGTCAGGCACCCTACATCAGACACATCCGATCTGCAGAGAGTTAGAAGAAAATTGTTGGGAGGTGGTTTCAAATTAGGGAGCAGTTGTGAACACTGTCACATAAAAGACGTTAGTGGAAGGGATAAATACGTACCAACTTCAGGAACCTAGTCCCTGCTGTCTCTGATGCGGTAGGCAAACACCTGGGAAGCTTGGCCGTTTGCTAAGTATTCTTGAAGACTGGAGGCCAATGTAAGAAGCACTGCAATGTGAATTCGACTTCCATGGGACACCCCCAGAATAAGCATGTCCAGAAAGACACAAGGTGGAGTAATGTTTGCCATGGTCTGGAGGAAGGCAGAGAATGGGCAGTGACTGCTAATGGGTGAGGGGTTTCTACCTGAGGTGGTGAGAATGTGCTAAAATCAGTGATGATGGTTATGCAACTCTGATATACTGAAAATCACTGAAATGTGTATGCTAACAAGGTGAGCTTTGTGGTGTGCAATATTATACCTTAATAAAAATTAAATGGAAGCAACAAGAAAATGATTTAAAGTTACTCTCTACAAAGGGGAAACAAAACATTTTTTTTAGAAGGGAGAAAAATTGGCATGGTTAGAATTGAAAAGTTGGATCATTCTAATAAAAGACCAAAAGTTGAGTAATGAAAATGCAAAATTATATTCAATAGCCTTTTGTTTTTTTAAAGCTTAGGATATTTTTGACTTGACTAGTTTATGCAGCAGCTTAAAGTAGTACAGCCAAATCAATGCTATTACTTTAAGATAAAAGCACTCATTTGAAACAAAAAGAGAAAGCAAAATCCCAGAATGATAACTTGTTCGGAGAGTGGAACAAGAGTAGATAAAACTGTCTTGTGGTTACTTGACACTAAAGAACAGATGTTTAGAAATACGCGAACAAGAAAAAGATCAGCTCAATGAGCTGCTAGGGAAGGAGGGGCCGTCACTTCTTAGTAGGATAAATACCCCACGAGGGCAACTCCTGTTCTAGTTACCCTCCTCACTTCCAGTACATGCTGAGGAAACAGAGGTTGAACAAAGCATGCTCATGGTGTGGCTGTGAACTGGCTATCCAAGAATCTAAAGTGAGCTTACTTTGAAAATTGACATCATGTGCCTTTGCTAGAAACAGAACCTTTTTTAACTTACCAAATGGCTTCCATTGTTTGAATACAAGAATGAAGCACTTGAGTTAACCCAGTACAGGAGGCGCTTCACTTGTCCCTGAGGTCTGTTGGTTTAAAAGGGTGGTTCATGCAGTCAAGTCAACGCTACTACTTTAAAAGCACCCGAGCCTGGCTTCCTAGGAAGACCGTGAAGAGGGCTTAGAACCTTGACGCTGTGTTTGCAGTTTAATTGATATTAACCAGTTGTGGTCAGGTTGATTCCAATGTATGGTGACCCCGTGTGTTGGGGGAGAACTGCCCATAGGGTTCACAATGGCTCATTTTTCACCAGGCCTTTCTTCTACCTCTGGGTCGTCCCACACCTCTAAGCTTAGCGGCTGGGCATATTCACTGTTTGCACCACCCAGGGCCTCCCAGTGCTATCAATAGGGATCAATTATCTTGCCATAAAGGTACTGTCTAATCTCATGGGGGTGGGGAGAGGTTTCCAAAATTTATGTTAAAATTCCATTATCTTTTAATCCCATTTTTCCCATGAATTTTTTGAAGCCTCCTATAAAATATTCCATGATGAGGGGGGTGAGAATAAGTTTATGAATTAAAAGACAATGAATTAAATTAAAAAACTGAATTAAAACACAATGGAATTTCCCCCATAAACCTTTTGAAGCCTTCTCATAAAAAGCAACAAGATGCCCTCAAACTACTTTGTAGACTCTTTATCACACTTCACTGTTATCAGTGAGATTGCAAACATTATTTCTGCGGTTGTTCTATAGATGTTTGTAACGGAAGCATTTTCAACACTTTAGTTTTGGTTGGTAAATGCTCTTTCTGTGTCTCCCGATCCAGCTCCATGTTTTACACTTGTTTCTATTTAAAATATTGATGAATAGGGCTATACTTACTACTCGCTGACTTCCAAGAGGCACTAACCTCCTCTTTCTAAAAACCGACAGCATTAAAGAGAGAACCCTGGCTAGAATCCTCTGCTCCTCCATGCTGAAGACTGTTCAAACTTGGTCTATCAAGGAGATAGGTGTCTTTTCGTCCCCAAATCAGATTTTCTTCAGTTCCGGCTTTCCACTACTGCAGAATGTGCTCACTGGCTCATGAATACCCTTAGTTGTGTTTAACCATACTCTGGAGAGAAAACTGTTACTGCTCTGAAAATTTTCGTCCTTGTGCTAAATTTTGCCGAATCTCGAAATGTGGCTGTTTGTTCAGAGAGGAAAGCCAGCGATCTGTGGCTTCCCTGACATGAAATTCAAGCCTGCTTATTAGGGAGCAGCCCCCTGGCTTGCTTCAGAAACACACTGCGTAAGCTAAAAGCCCACAGACAGCTACAATGGGAAGCCTGCGTAGAGACCGCAACTTTATAAATGGGAAGAAGGAACAAAGAAAAGTGGGAAAACAATGTGGTGCCCTGCCACGCTGGGCTTCAGACTCAGCAGCATGGCTTGAGTGACACTGGACTTTGGAGAACAATGTGATTTTCACATGTCATTGGTGTGGTTTAAATCCCTCCCCACCCTTCCTACCTCTTTACAAGATTGCCAGGACGGCGCTGGCCAGGGGAGCCGTTTCCTTCTGCACTGCCTGGGGTCACCACTACGAATGGGAACTGGCTTTACAACACCTAGAACAACAGTTTTTAAAAAGCCTAATTTGGCTCTGGTTTCTTTCCTTCTTCCGCATGAGAGACAACTGATGGAAGATTTAACCACCATGGAATGGCTGGTGGGAGAAAAGAAGGGCTCTCAGGCTTGGGGGAGGGAGAGGTGGGTTTTTTTTTTTAAGGTCTCAAAATAAAGGTATCCCATGTCCTGAAACACAGAGCAGAAAAAAACACTAATTTAAAACCTTTCCCTGAGGTTTGCACCCACCCTGGACGCATCTCTGATTGGCGTTGGGAAGCTGCTTTCCCTATGTCCACAGAGACCCTGCCGGCCAACGAGCACCTCTGCGCTCCTCAGCCAGTGGCAGACAGACACACACGCCCTCCCAACCCACGCCCCCGCCTCCCCCACCCCCAGCCCCCAGGTGGGGGTTACACAGAGGAGCCAGGAAGCATGGCCCAGAGCCAGGCCCCAGGCAGCAGCTGTCAAAAGGAGAAGTCGGTTTACTTTCTTTTAAACTTGCAATGTTTGTCTTTATTTTGTTCTTTATATTTTGAAAGTGAAAAGAAATAGTATCGAGTCAATTTCTTTTTGTTTGTTTTTCTTTTTTTTAAATATTTGTTCTATGTATTTACAAGCCTTAAAGTTGCTCTAAAGATTCCAAAAGTATTAAGAGTCCTTTTTCCGGGATAGCACTTTTTTTTTTAAACAATTCTTGGAGTTCTCTGGTCCACAGCATTTTCACAAAGGTTTTCCTTCTGTTCCAAGGTTATGTATGTTTTGATAACTATTTTGATTTTTATTTTCTGAAGCAAGCTGAGAGGCAGGCAGAAAGATTTGATTACCCCCCCCCAAAAAAAATCATTCTTACCTTGGTCACCCCAAACCTTCTTAAATCTGGACTAACTACTATGCTCTTAAAACAAACGTGAGGTGCATCTGAAGGGAAGGGAAATTTATTTCTCTGCTTTTCTATTATACAAGTTGTTTACAGAAACTGCAAATTAAAAAATTACACTGGCATTTGCAGTCCTTAAAATAAATTAAAAGTTCTCAACTTTTTTTTTTTGATTTTATGTTTTTGTTTTTTGCTAAACAGATGTGTTTCTTTAAAGTATGAGTCCTTGTTTAAAAAGAAAAGATTAAAACAGAAAATATTCTCTATAAATAATACACGGATTTTGGTTGTAGTGCTCCCGCCGCCCTCCGGTTGACGCTGACTTTTGCCGGCACCTTTTCCTCCATGATCACCTTTTCGTTTCCCTCTCCCACTCGTGCACACGTGGGTTTCTGCGAGAATTGGCCTTGCTGCACTGTGATTGGCGAAGACGTGAAACTTTAAAAAAAATACTTAAATTGTTTCCTCTGTCTCCTTTTCCTGCGTGCGTGCGGGTCAGTTGTCCTCGGACTCCTCCTCGGCCTCCCGCAGCCACGTGAAAAAGGCGGTGACTGACTTGAGGGCGACGCCCTTCCCGTTCTGCTCGGCGGGGTCCTTGCTGCTCTCCCACTTGTAGAACGCGTCCTCCGAGATCACCTCTTCGTCGTACAGGCAATCGAAGAACATCCGGAGCAAGTCTGCAACAGGAGAAAGAAACCCTCAGCCTGGGGGCACGGGGTGGTGCACTTCCAGGTCATGACCCGAGTGGCTGCCCAATCCCTCCCTCCCCCAGGGAATGGAGGACAATGAGCATCCTCCAAGCACCGGTTTGTCTCAAGAGGCAAGTAATCGAAACTTTTTATTTATTTATTTCCATCTATTCTTTTGGCCAATTTGAACTATTTCCTGGGTTTGGTGAGTTGTTTGCTATTTTATAGGCCTCAACTTAGATACTTTTAAAATTAAATACAATTAAAAAACGTTTTGCATTTCCCCACTGTTTAAATTGCTACAATGAAAACACTATTTTTATCACTTTTGCATAAGAGCAGGCTCTGCTTCTTCCCTGTGGTGCTGTGGGATAGATACTGGGTCGCTAACCTCATGCCACTGTTTCAAACCCCCTGGCAGCTCCACGGAGAGACAAGGCTGCCTGCGCCCACAAAGACTGACAGTCTCGGGAACGCTGTCGAGGGTCACGCTGACTTGCACTGGCTCTACGGCAGTGGCTTTGGTCAGAAGTGACGGGCGATGTGCAGTGGCGTCGATGGGAAGTCTGGGTGGGTCAGTGATTGAAGTGCTCAGCTGTGTGGAACCACCAGTGGGCTCCGTGGGAGGAAGCTGGGTGTGGCAGCCCCACTCCACCTGCAGGGTCTCTGTAAGCACACCTTGACTTGAAAGCTAAAGGCTTTTTGTTTTGTTGACCTAAAAGGTCAACAAAGGTCTTGAGAGCAAAATAAACAAAACCAGATTAAATACTATGATTCAGATTTAGATGTCTCTTCTGTTAACATTCTGAGGATTATTTGTTTCAGATATGTCCCTTCATCTCACCCTCTTGTATTCCCCCAGCCCTCCCAGGGCTTCAACTGCCCCAGGTAAAGAAGGGAAAACCGCCAAAGCGAAGACCAAGGAAAGCCAAGCCTCTAAAGCAGCCACGAATTAGCCACTTCCACAAATTTCAACTGAGTAGTCAAATGTTAATAGAATTCAGCTAATAACCGGAATTAATAAGACTTGGGTGCTTTCAGTTTACCTACTTATCTAATTAGTCAAGAGTTAATCATATTCCTTAGCTGAAAACTATTTAAAAATTTTAAATTCCTCTGTAAATACAACACGGTTAACATACTTAAGGTATCTTAAGCGTCTGAAGATTTGAGGAGTATCATCAAGCTCCTTAACAAATGTTCATTGTTGAGATCTGTATTAAAGATGTGTGCGAGTCACTGCATGTAAGACAGTACACTAAAAGGTAGCCTAGATGTGCACCATTCTATGTGGCAGCTGCTGTCCACACGTAGCAATTTAAGTTTAATAAAATTAGAAGCCATGGTCCTCAGTTACAATAGCTACATTTCAAGGGCTCAACAGCCACACGGTGCTCATGGCTACCCTACCAGGTAGACCATATATAGAAAATTTGCTTCAGAAGACCAACCCTAGAATGACGTTAAGTCTCAAAGCTAATTTCCTGTGGTCATTTACTCATAAAAATTCAGATTTATTAGAGCTACTCGTTATCAGAGTATATGTATCTTGCATGGCTTCTATTGTCCACTGTCCCAACTCCAAACCATTTTTTAATTTGGATGAAGCTCACCCACTGGTCTGAAGGGTCATGTTACGTCAACTTACTGGCAGGTTGATCCAGTTTTACTATTGATGCTTGTAGGGCATAAAGTGCTTGCAGTTCCTTCTCTGTATCTGAGTCTAGGTACTTGAGTAAGATCGGCACTCTCTGCTTGATAACAGCAGTGTCCACTCGGAAGGTAGAGCAGTCAGCTAGAGGAGAGAACTAGGCATTATTTTTTTCTTTTAAAAGCTTTATTAGCACTTCATCCACGCTATACAATTCAATTCAATTCAAGAAGAGTTGTACACTAGTACAGATAAGAGCTCTTGACACACAAAATCCAGGACAGATAAATCCCTCAGGAACAGTGATGGGAGTAAGGAAACCATGAGGGTAGGGGGGAGGTGGGGGGAAAAGGGGGAGAAACGGGGAACTGATCACAATGATTGATGTATAACCGCCACCCTCACCCATCCCCTCAGGGGATAAACAACAGAAACGTGGGTGAAGGGAGACAGCGGACGGTGTAAGATACAAAAATAATAATAACAACGTACAATTTATCATGGGTTCACGAGGGTGGGAGGGTATGGGAGGGAAAAAAGAGGAAATGATACTACCAAGGGCTCAAGAAGAAAGAAAATGTTTTTGACATGATGGTAATATAATGTACAAATGTACTCGACACAATTGATGTGTGGATTGTTATAAGAGCGCCCAATAAAATGATTGTTTTAAAAAAGAGAAGAGTTGTACAATTATCACCACGTTCAATTCTAGAACATTTTCTTCTTCCCTGTACTTATTGTTAGGCATTATTCGTAAGGAGTTAACACCCCCAACCATCCTTCCAGTTTCAGAGTAGCTGGTAGATAAGGCCCGTGGGACTCTGCAAGGGAAGAGGAAGGAAGCAAAAAGCCCAGGCAAAGATTCTGATATCCAAAATTCTCTGACAATTTCAGGGGGGAATTCTCTCGGAAATAATAAAAACAGGGAGGATGGATACTTCTTGTGTGCTGGATTCCCTACAGAGTAATGTACCCAATTATTTATCTCCAATAATAATGAAACCGGGCCAGTGGTTTTATGACATTCCCAACTGAAAAAGGAGCATCAACAGAGGAAATTAAATCGGTAGTTGGTGCAAATCATTTCAAGTCAGAAGAAGTGGAACCACTGTGATTAAGGTTAAGGTGAAGCCCAGGGCTTACTGGGGCCATAGCAGGCTCCACAGTCCAGCCCCAAGCAGCTCAGCCCTAAGCCCCGGGGAGGACAGGCACAGCAAGAGCAGGCGGAGGAAAGCATGTTCAGGGCCAGGAGGCACAGTGTCTTGTTTTCTTTTTAAGTTATCACTGGGACACAGTCTTATTTTTAAAAGCAGCTCTCTGATCTTTCCAAGTTTGATTTTAAAAAACCAAAATTTTATTGGTCCACAGGTACTGGGAATGATTTAAATGACTTCCTGAAAGAGTTTCCACTTAGCTTGTTCTTTACCATATTAAAGAAGTAACACCCCCAAAAAGATTACATCTGATGCAAAACCTTCCATTACATTTTCGAGCTAAACCACAGGGCAGAAAGCTATCTTCTCAAATGACAGACAAGCTTGGAACTCTGAGACATCTTTTGAGTTGATGGATTTGTTGTTCATTTCTGTCATAGACATGTTTGACTACGTGGATTCCCTCATTCAATATTGTTAGAGACTGTAGGCAGCTTGGCATACCTAGGGTTTCCACTAATCCTAGTCCTATCCACATATGTAGTATAGAAATACATTTGATAAAACTGTCTCATCACAGTCACTGTGAAACGGGGGAACAGTGAACCCCTTCCTTCTCTCCTGTATTTACACAAAGTGACTTTTCTCTTGAGAATAAGCTCTCCGCTGAGAACAGGTTAAGAATATTCAGCCTGTTACGACCCACAGGTAGAAGAAAGCAGTGGCCTGGAATGTTAGATGTGAATAGGTAAGAGAAAAGCCTCATGTAACAGAACAGAAAATTACTCCAGGCGAATGCAACAACGCTAGACACCCAGGACTCAGGGCGTGGCTCTCTGCAGGCAGCGCTGCTGTTCAGCCCCTTGCTGGAGACGGTCAGGCAGTGGAGACAGAAATGGCACTGGCTTGCAATACAAACGTTGTATGTATTGGGCCGGTTTTGAAGACAGTGTAAATTCTGGCCCATGTAATCAGCAGTCACATAGCACCTTGGGAATTTATATGCTAAGAGTTGCCTTCAGTAATGTTACTTACCTATAATTGCTGCTTTACAAACAGCCGTCATTAAAGCTCTAAGGAATGTAGGCGAACTCATCTGGTTGTCATCTAGATTAGCCTGCAATCAAAAGCACATGGAACCATTAGAGGTAGGTAGGTAACCTGCACAGAGCAGGCGGCCCCCATCCAGGGCTCTGACACCAAGGGCAGATGGAGTCAGTCACAGTGAACCTCTGGCCAAAATGTGTTTCCTGAGTCACTGGCGAATGGCTGGACGTCACCAATGCTGTGAGCACCCATGGGGCACCGTGGTGGGTGAAGCCCTGAGCTGCCAGGAGTGCAAGGTTGGCGGATCAAACCCAATGGTCGTTGTGCGGGAGGCAGGTGAAGCAGCCTGCTTCCTTAACGATTTACAGCCTGGAAACCCTCGGGAGCAGCTCTCCCCTGTGGTAAGGGTCACGAACAGCCGGCACTGACTCCTTGGCAGTATTTTGGTTTATTTTGTTTTCAAAGAGCATCTAACGCTGCCTCTCCTCTGCCCATGTACTCATACAGTGTGGTGTGCTAAATGCAACTACTTAAAAAGACATTCTTCCTTCCCAGTGAATAATTATTTTGTTTAAGTCTATACGTGTAAAACAACAACCAAATCACATGTGCACATGTATTTTAAAAGTAACTTTCTCAACAGTGTAAAATCATCTTCTGTGCTAAACAATGTTTTCTATCTCCAACTTAATTTTCATGTGAATTAAAGACGAGTCTCAAGCACTGTCTCCAACAAACCCTTCAGGTGGTAAAAAAAAAAGGTTAACTCTTGTAAGAATAACTGGAGAAAATGTATTTAGAGACGCTGAGTAAATAATTCCTGTATTTATTTTTAGTTGCTTTTTCTGAGAGTCTGCCTTGTTGTTATTAGACACTGTACTCAGCTGGATGGGCAGCAGAAGGGAAAACTGCACCAACATAAGCTGTTTTCTGAGCAGATTATTTAAATGACTTTTTCGAGTTTACTGTGATCAAATCTAATGATTGTCCCAGCTTCTTTTAATAGCACAGGATGATATTTTCCACTGAAAAGGATTGGGCCAGAAAATTTAAAGATGCCTTTATAAATTTCTAGATTGGAAAACCTAACCATTTCAAAGATACTTGGAGATCCTTTGAATGTTTAAGACTTTGGAAATGGTGGTAGACTAATTGGCACCCTCCTCTGCTGATTATCTAACCCCTTGGGCATTCAGATGGGCAGCCAAGTCCAAAGGCTGCTTTGATTAAGGTGACCAGACGTCCCGCTTTTGGCGGGACAATCTGATTTTTAATAATTTATCCTGTGTCCCATGGCATTTTTTAAACGTCCTGATTTTTGGAAAGAATGCACAACAAACTAGGGTATACGGTTTTTGACTGCCATGTGGCCATTTTGCCAGGATATGAGTTTTATCAATGGTGTCCCGCTTTACCAATGTTAAAATCTGGTCATCTTAGCCTTGAGGCTCCCCCGACCCCAGCTTTCCAAGGAGTAGCAGTACACAGCACCCTCACTGACAGCTAGGTGCAGCTGGGGTAGGAAGGAGGAAAGTACCACATACAAGCTCCTTCACGAGGATGTATGCGTTTTAGCTGGTTGCTGCTTCACACCTCTTTACAGATGCTTTATGTAGGCTGAAGCCAGGTTCGTCTAATCCCAGGGAAATCAGTAAAGTCTGGACAATGATTTTTGATAAATAAATGCATTACTCCCCCACGCCCGGTCTTACTTCTTGGCTGAATGATACTTTGTAAACAGGCTGACAGGGCTATTTCAAGCACAGAAAGTTATCTGAAACCCCCAAGGAGTTAGCTATCAGTCTAAGACAGCAGTTCTCAACCTGTGGGTCAGACCCCTTTCTGGGTCAAATGACCCTTTCACAGGGGTCATCTGATTCATAACGAGCAACATTACAGTTATGAAGTAGCAACAAAAAGAATTTTATGGCTGTGGGGAGTTACCACAACATGAACTGTATTAAAGGGCTGCGGCCTTAGGAAGGTTGAGAACTGCTGGTCTAAGAAAAAGGAACAGACTAGCTAACTGTAATTAGATAATAAGCATATTTTCCAAACTGACTGCTTCTGTCCTAAAGAAACAGCTGCATATTTCTTCTACGGAATCATCATTCAAGAGTAGAAAGGACCTGAAGAAAACGGTCAGGGACACTGATGTGAGCCTGCTAATTGGGGACAGAAGAGCCAGGCCATATGTAAGTAATACTTCCTGGTGTCTGAGACAGGTCAACAAAATGTCCACATGTACTGTGAGGTCACTTACTATCATGTCTTTATATACATAATTATATTACATACAATTAAAATTCAGTAAAATTGACCCTTTCTTATATTTAAGGAGAATAACTGTTGGTCTGGTGATGGCATCATAAGCCCTGATATAAAAGAATTATAGCCCAAGGTGGGTGAAGTGGTAAAAAAGTACATTTTTGCAATAAACACAAGGCTAAATTATTTAACAGATGAAAAACCATGGAGAAAGAAAATGACGTGAAAGCTGTAAATCCTGCCCTGATATTAAAAAAAATACCAGAAAGCCTGGTCCTGATTCTATGCTAAATTTGTTACATGTAACATTTGTCACATGAATGATTTAAAGGTCTTAGAGAACAAAGGGATGGTTATTTCTATTTAGAGACAGTATGCTCAAGACATGGTATGCTAGCCTCTTTTCCTGCGCTGAACTCAGACGGACAGAGCTATAACGAAGCACCCAATGATAGCTACCTCCTAGTCGGAAAGAGGAAAGGCAGTGCAGATGGTGTGAAGTGAACTAACAAGGGAACGGCCACAAGGGGTGGCTTGGAGGTCTGCTGCTTTACTCCAGGGGCCAGCCTACTCTCACATCTCACCCATAACTTCGCAACCACCCCCCAAGTGTCATGAGAGACAAAAAGTGGACTTAGGAAGATAAACATCAGCAGAAATAAATGGACATACACTCCATTTTGTTTCAAAAGCCAAAGGCCTAAGTTCAGGACAGGCAAGAAATAGACAACAGAAATTAATGGGCACGAGTGACTGAAAGCAATTTGAACTGTGTGGTGTGACTGTCACAGCATCAAGTCCAGAACAAGAAATGCCTTAGTCCTGGCTGACCAGACATGGTGGCACCACCCTGTGACCATGCTCGGTTTGCACGTCTCATTGAGAGAGGGACTCTGAAAGCCCAGGCTGGGCATGGATCAAAGGACGAGACGGTGTCGTGGGTTGTGAGTTGGGCTGCCATAAGGACTGCAGTTTGAAACTAACGACCAGCTTCTCTGCAGGAGGAAGGTAAGACTTTCTGCTCCCATAGTTAGTCTCCGAAACCACGGAGGAAATTCTCCCTGTCCTATAGGGTTGCTATGAGCCCGAACCAACTCAATGGCAATGAGCTCAGGTTGATAGAGGGCCTGGGTATCAAGGTTTTAAAAGAGGGAGGGAAGAAGCTTGGAATAACCTATTCCAATTATTTGAAAGGTTCCCAGCTAGAGGAGAAAAGACTGCTGAATTATCTTGTGGCGATTAAGTGCAAAAACAGGTAGAAAATCAAATGATTGGAATGAATAGATGCGCCATCATTTCCCACGACTAAAGAAACAACCATCCAGTAAAACTGGGGAATTCATGCAAGAGGGAAAGGGCTAGGGTGGCCCTAAGATCTCTTTTTAACCTTAATTATTCAATGATCTAATAAAAAATGTGTACAAGTACAACTTTATACACAAAAACTATTCTCCAAAGGAATATAGTAACAAGTTAAAATATATTTGATCAACAGATTCTACAACACAAGATACTACTATATACACTCGAGTATAAGCTGACCTGAATATTCACCACAAAAACTGCATAAAAATGTGCTGAAAACTCGGCTGACACACAAGCATGTGTTAATGAAGACATAAAAATTTCAGAAGACAGCACGAAAAGATAGCACGTCAATAAGGACAGCACTGATTGAGGGTGGCATAAGAAACAGAACTTACTGCCACGGAGCCCGTTCTGACTCAGCAGCACTACAGAACCAGAGTAAAACGTCTCCTCTGGGTTTCAAGGACTTTTATCTCTCCGTGGGAGCAGACAGCTCCTTCTCCCACAGATCTGCTGGTGGCTTTGAACTGCTGACCTTGCGACTAGCAGCTCAATGCACAGTCCACTACATCACCAGAGAGAGCCCTTGAGGATGGGACAGGAGTAGGCAATATTTCTTTCTGTTACACTCAAGGTTTCTATGTGTCGAAGCTGACTAGACGACTCTTCACAACAATGTATTACATGATTTTATTCAAGATAGTATTTTAAATGTGAGGGAATCCAGAAAGGAATGTAAACCACAGAATGGTAAAAATGTAGAGCATATAAGGGACTAATGTGAGACCTAGGGAAATGGCTTGTTTTGATTATTTCTATGAAATAAGCCTTTATTGGGATAAGCCACTGAAATTTGAGGGCATGTTTATTACACAGCATAAGGGAAGTACTATAGAAATGAAGCAACTTGCCTAAAGTTACGTGGTTAATTAGTGGCAAAAATGAAGTTACGGATTGAACTCTGTTCCCCCAAAATGTTTCGGAATCCTATCTCCTGGTCCTATGGATGTGATCCAGTTTGGAAATAGGATATTCTTTGTGATGTTAATACGGTCAGAAGAGTGAATCTAAAAGTCTTAGCAAGTGTCAAATATACATGTAAAAATAAAAGCAAAAAATAAAAAAATAAAAGCAAACCTCTCTAAGGTGCAAAGCTCTAAAAAAACCAAAACCACTCCCCTGAGGGAACAGGGTAGGTATGCAGCCTAAGTGGTATCCCCTGAGGGAACAGGGTAGGTATGCAGCCTAAGTGGCTCCCCGAAGAATTTTGTTTTGGAGAGACGAGGGAGAGTGATGCGGTCTGCATACCTCTACCCAGTCAAAGATCTGTTCATCATTGGCTTTGTCCTCAGTAATCAGTTTCTCCAGTCGCCTATAGAGCTCTTCAGCAGAGAGCTCTTTCTTGGAAAGTGCTTCAGACGAGCAGGAGCTGTCAAACTGTATAAAGTCCAAGTTCTGTAACAGAAATGTTAAACACATCAATATGACGCAGTGGTAGCATCACCCAGAGAGGCTTTGGCTTCTACTTCCCATGGAATCAAAACAATGACCAGGAACCTTGCTCCATGAGCCTCTGACCAGTTCTCCAACTTCTCACCTTATATCTGTATCTTCAGAAACAAACAACCCCCTTTCATGATCTCTTTAGCTATGCATAATCTTCACATCATTTTAAGTTTCAATTTTGCTCCTTAGGGTGGGACAGCAGTACCAGAGAGGGATACAGTGTAACTGCATTTCTGCAACCAAAAGTTTCTATCGGTGTCACTAAAGAGCAGCTGTCAAAAATCACTGTCATTTGGCTTTCACTAAAACCTTCAAATACCTCCTGACCATCGGATTCCAAGTGGGAAAACTGATGCTATAATTAATTCTTTTTTTCTGTTGTTGTTGCTATGACCGATTCTTAAATGGGGAGTTAGAATTGTCTATAATCAAAATTACTGGTAATCCCCCAGGGTCCAAGGCAATACGGTAAGTAGGTATGGTTTCCTTTATAGAATTTCATTATGCAAAAATATAAATAGTAAAATTGTTAAAACATGAACTGTGATTCACATAATGTTTCTAAAGAACTTTGAAAGCCTGGAATGTTCCTCTAGTGTACATCTCATTGATATGGAGGAAATCATTCTCGAGTTCTGTTTTTCATCCTGTTTCAATTATTTTTACCCCCAATAGAGCATCTCTAAACAATATTTCCTTATAGCATTTAGAAATGAAATGACCCAATCCCTACATGCCAACACGTATCAACAAGGATAGGTAGTTTCTTTTTAAAACAGCTGGTCAATTTTTTTATTTAAAAAAAATTTCAATTAAATACTTTTATTGGGGGCTCTTACATCTCTTATCACAATCCACAGATTCATCCATTGTGTCAAGCACAGTTGTACATATGCTGCCATCATCACTTTCGGAGCATTTTCTTTCTATATGAGCCCTTGATATCAGCTCCTCATTTTTTCCCCTTCCCTCCCCCAGACAGTCAATTTTTCAAAGCCATGAAACATTTTCCAAATTTATTCTAACACTCTAAGGTTCCCTGTTTAACCTACTCCAACCTACAAAAATAATTTAAGGTCTAAGAGCAATTAACAACACAAAACCAAGCATGAAGTAATAGTACATGCTCATCAGTAAACTCTGACATAGAATTGGACAAGGGAAGGCTTTAGCCTTGCCAAAGGCATCAGTGGTGGGCCATAAGGGTCACAGAGGTCACTGGAGAGAAGCACCTGCTTCTTAGGACCCTGGTGTTTCTCTGCAAATGACCCGAACTTTGTGGTACCCAGTGGGGCAGACTTTGGATTTGGGGATCAGATCACTGCTAGCTCTCAGAGAATGCTCCAGAGTTTACAGAAAAAGCCCCCAGCTGTTTTAGAAGAAAGCTAAAAGGCAGGATATATAAGGCAGGTTTCTCTGGACCCTTATTTTCCTAATAAGACTCTTAAATACCTTTATTAATAACAGAAACAACAGCAATGCTCTGGGCTAGGCAATGAGGTGCATCTCCCACATAAGCTCATTTAACTCCCACAAAAACTCTACAAGGGAGGTACTGTTAGCAAATCATAGATGAGGTATTTGAGGCTTAGAGAAATCAAGCGATTTTGCTTACAGGTACACGGGAAGCGGCAGAAAACTGAAACCCAAGCCCATTTGACTTCAAAACAGAATGCCTCTCTACATCTATATAATGCTTACATAGATGCCATTGAGTCTCAACTGACTCCCGGAGTCCATACATGCAATAGAACAAAACGCTGCCCAGTCCTCCTCATCCTCACGATCATTCATGTCTGAGTCTGTGTGGCAGCTACTGTGCCAGTCCATCTTACTGAGGGTCCCCGCTCTGGCCTACTTCACCAAACGTGATGTCCCCTCCAGGGACTTCCTGAGGATGAGCCCAAGAAGAGTCAGACAATGGTCTACCCATAGGGCTTTCAGAAACGGCTCTCCAGGTCTTTCTCTCTAGTTTACCTGAGTCAGAAGCTCTGCTGAAACCTGCGCGCTTTGGGGGACCCTGCTGGGATTTGCTTCCTCTGGGAGCCAGGGTGACAAGGAACTGGGTCCAATTCAACTTTCTCCCAAGATCTCTGGAGGCTCGTGGAGTCACATGGCCCTTGCTATGTGCTTACTGCGCAGATCTCAAATTACACTCTGACGTTGCCCCTTTCTTGTTTGGCTTCTTGACAATTTCTTCCACTTTCTATGAGCACAGCACTGCACGGACATGACGCCCTATTCAGATCCTTACTACTGTGGCAGCGGTCTTCTGCAATGTGTGCTAGTCACAGCAGAAGCTGAAGTCCAACAGAACTGAAAATACCTTCCCCACACCCACTTCACGCTTTTCATTTGTCTACACTCCTACTGCTGATTTTGTTGGCTGTCTTTAGTTTTCTTCATGCGTTTGTAGGATCGTTTTGAGAGGGATTTTTATTTTCGCTCTCTGTCACTTTCCTTAGTCTAATACTGCGGTTCTCAACCTGTGGGTTGCAACCCCTTTGGGGGTCAAACGACCCTTTCACAGGGGTTGCCCAACTCATAACAGTAGCAAAATTACAGTTATAAAGTAGGTACGAAAATAATTTTATGGTTAGGTGGGGGGTCACCACAACATGAGGAACTATATTAAAGGTTCGCAGCATTAGGAAGGTTGAGAACCACTGATCTAATAGTTTAGTGGCTGACCTATCTGACCCTCATAATTCCTCAATTAGGACCAACCTATATTGGCCATGGAAACGTCTGCTTTGTGATACTGTAAGTTTACAGATCTAGGTGCTAAATTGGTATGCAGGCTACTTGTGGATCTGCCTGAAAAACTGCCTACTTCTTGTGCTTATTCTCTGTGGAGATCCCCCACCCCCACCCCCACCCCCGTTTTACACAATAAGCCTGAATTCTATTCTTTACCTTGGAATGGACATCTCGTTTCCACTACCTGACATAAATAACTTGTGGCTCCCTTGCCTGTCCTTGGACCTAGTGCCCCACAGATCTGTAGTTTCAGCCCTCTTTATCGGTGCTTGATTTATTCAAGCCATTTCTGCCTCATAGAGCTAGCCAGCTTATTTTCTGAGCATGGCTACATCTTTGACATTTTTTGGTAATTTCGTATCTGCTCTCTAGTGAGAGTGAAGTTGAGGGGGCCTCAAAGCATGAAATGTACAATGCCATCTTGACCAAGATTTCCATTTTGATCTACTTTTCATTACTGAAATACTAATAACATTCCCTTTATTTCCTCTGTGAAACCAGCCAACCACTGTCAAGCATGAAAATGTAAGCCTTGTTTTGCACTCACCTGCTCCAAAAGAAAATGGTCTACATCTTCCCCTTCTGGTACAAAGTCCTTCCAGCTAAGGTCCGCCTCCCTCCACAAGGCTCCCACTCTCTTATGGCTCTAAAACACAGATAAGTCCATCCATTACTTTCACATTGAAAGAAGACAAAAAGACGATTGCTTACAGTCAAGCGTACAGAACCCTAAACACTGAAAAATCAAGTGTTCTTTGCTGAGTGTCTGTAAATGAGATGGTAAATGATTCAAGCACAGCTGTCTTGGAGAGGGAAATTAAGGTTCAGCACTTATCATATGGGTAATCTTGGGACCTATAAGCTAGCATTTAAGCATCCAATATACAGGATTTATAAACTCAACTGTATTTACTTTCCTAAAGAATACTACAAGACTAAGTAAAAAAATATTGTAACCAGGGCTCCAGGTCATACATATATGCATGGGTACGAATGAAACAAAAAGGGCTTAACATGTTTCTATATCAGTGGATAGCTACAGACCAATTCTCTCAGTAATATACTTGTCTGAGTCCCATTAGGGTGCCTGCAGAAAACCACATCCAATCCAAACAGCGGATTTCATAGGGATCTGCTGGGCCAGTTAAACTCAAAGCGTAGAGGTCGGCTCAGAGATGATGATGACTATTTTTTGGACTCCCATTGACTCATGTTAATAGATTTTCTCCAGGGACACAGGATGAGCTCAGGGGCCTGTTCTCTCACTGCCATTGAGTTGTGACCAACTCACAGATAAAAGAAAAAGGACTAACTATAAAATGGAAAAATGGCATTGCCGAGAAAACGACTAGCAAAGTTACATAAAGGAATTCTCACCCATCACAATGCAACTAATTTTTTGTGGGTAGAAGGGCTCTCCTATAAAAATTTTGTTGGGAAAACTTGCCCCATCTATCTTATAGCCCTAATCGTGTCCCTTCAGACTTTCTGTTCAATAAACTCAAAGCACAAGAACATTGCAAAGGAACATGATTTGAGTCCCTTGCGGATACCCAAACTGCCATTTGGATGTGGCATAAAGTGAAGAAGGCCGGATTCTTTGGGGAGGTTAAAGATGAGATGGAAACACCACCACAGGGGTGTGCAGACCTAGGAGGATACATCAAGAAACAACAGCTGTATCTTTTTATTGTTTTGCTTAATAAAAAGTTTCCGTGATTTTGTAGCAACACGTTTTGACTTTCCCGCATATCTGTATATTTGCTATCAAAGTTACTCAGAAAGCCTAACTGGAATCCTTTTTCATACAAGATCATGATTATGCTGCCTAATAAGAAAATGCCCACGACAGCTGTTTGGTTGAACCAGGAATGAGCAGGGTTTCACGGGCAAGAAGCACAAGGTTGGGCCTAGGAAACAACATTAAAGAGCTGATGTCACTTGGAAAATCAAGGCACCAGGGTCAAGTGGTGAGGAGATGCAGGCCCACTGCCTGAACCAGGTTCAGAGTGACAAAGGGAACGTCAGTTGTTTGGATTGGCCCAGCAACCGCTGACAGCATGGCGGAGGCAGGAGCTGAAGTCCTGCTGACTTCAGAGCTTATGCTCTATGGGAACTTGGCTTTATGTAGAAGTGGGAATTTGTTTTCTGTTTCCATAAATAAAAGGGAAAGAAGAATTTGAGTTTTTGATATGTGCCAAAGTGGGTAAGAGAGAAGGAAGGAATTTAAGATGTGCCAATTGGGTTCAGTAAAAATTTCAGTGCCATTAAACAAACAACTTGGTGATGGGCTAGCCCAAGGGACTAGGCTATTTAGTTTAACTTTGGACCACCACTGCACAAATGGGATACAGAAGACCTCTGTAGACTCGGAGGGAGAAATGAAATTCTGACGCTTCCTCATCAATGCCTATAAAACACTGAAAGCTATCATCCTATTATCTTTGGCTCCAGTTTGGATAAATCAGAAACCGCTCAGGGGAAAAAAAACAACGCCATCGCTCAGGCATTTTCATGGTAGTTCTGTTTTGTTTGCACGTTGCTCCCCCTCCGTGTTCCCTCAGCGCTGTGACGTCACACTGTCCTACCCCTCTGAGCTCTCTAGAACAGCACTTCTAGGTTCTTTTGAAATGATTCCCCTTAGATTTGTCTTTCTTCCCCTCTACCCTATACATTCTTTGAAGGCTTGGTTAGTTTGAGGGCCTAGCAGAGAGTTTTGCAGAGAATAATTGCCACATATTTATGGAGAGGGAATGGGAAGTTTCAAATAGTTATGGAAAAATGTCATCTTAAATTCCATTTTTCCAAGAACTTTTTTTTTTCTCCCAATAACTTTTTGAAACTTCCTGTGTTAAACTGGCTTTAAGATAGAAATTGACAAGCCTGTCAAATCAGTTTTGCCACCAATTTCCAATTAGGTGAAGAAGGCCTAGTGGTGCAGTGGCTAAGTGCTCAGCGGTTTGAACACACTGATTGCTCCGGGGAGGAAGACGCCTTGGGAAGCCTCGGGGCAGCTGGGCTCTGACCTACAGAGGTGCTGCCACTGGAGTTGCTCAGTGACAACAGCTCTTTGTGGTGGTGGTGGTGCTTCCTCTAATCAGATTACCTAGCAGTTGGTCCAGAAACATAAAATTGATCATTTTAGGAATCTTCTCTTGCATTTAAGGCAGAGACATTTTCATGAAAAGCTACTAAAAAGTAAATAATGTCGATGTTTTTGAAAGGACAAAGCTACTCATTGACAACAAAACATATCTTGAGAGTCTTCAGAATTATACCTTACTTAGTGTTGATCGCACAACTTTCACTCAAGTTAGAAGCAAACATAAGAGCAAGTACACCCAGCTTCGGGAAGAAGCGAGGTTGGTAGCACAAGGAAATAGAAGTAGGTGAACAGTAAGACCTCAGGTAGTCTCAGATCACAGTATCAAGATCCTGCCCCCTCCTATGGCACAGTGGAGTCTGCCACACAGGAGTGGAATACTCACCATTTGTCTGCAAAGGAGGTGCAATATTTCAGAAAGCAGGACCCCAGCTCTTCCAACAGGAAGTAACGGTTTGCTAAATTCTCTGTAAAAGACAGCAGCAACAATTAAGTACTTCTGAACAAATTCCATTTAGAACAGTAGGAAAACTGCGTGTGCCTAAAAAACCAAATAGTACAGCTCGAGCCAAAGGTCCAGGGCATGGTGGGTGCCTGCAGGATCACCTGCGTTTCATGGGAAAGTGGGTAAGGACTTTTAAATGGCTTTTTCTTTAACCTCTTACATGCGGGAAGAAGCGCCAACATTATTCTTTTTATGAAGCTTCACTTCTAGCAAATAAGAGAAGGTGGCCTCAAGTGACAAGGAGTTGTGAGGCTTTGTTTATGAGGCAATTTGTGGAGTTTAGGGAAAAAAAGGGTTTCTTTAAAATACAGATGAAACAGCAGAAGATGCTTTTTTTATAGTCTACATTAGTATTTCCACAGAATACCAGTGATTATCAATAATTATCTCCTACAGATTCTACAATTTATTAAGCAAGGCAGTATTAAATTAAGCCAAACTCGTTTTCATTTCTTTCTGCTTTCTTTTATTACAGGATTCTCATAATTTTTAATGTGCTATAATGTGCTCTTGAATTTCAATGAAAAGGGACAGAAGAGTACGTAGAATCTGACTATATAAACAAATTAGGGGATACACTAGGGTTTTGAACAGAATATGCTCTATCCCATGAAGCCGCGTTTCCTCGTTCACATCCAAATCTAGGAAGGCTTTGCGAGCTGGGTTTCTTCCATGACAGCCGTCTGTGAGTCAGTACCATGTACTTGCCACAGTCTGACAAGTTATGCCGTGGAAACAGCTTCTGGCAGCACTGCAGCCAGGGCAGGTGTAAAAGCCAGAGCAGCACAGAGCCTCCCGGAGCAGGTGTGCCCCAGTGACAACCACTCCTCACAGAACAGAAGGCCATCACTCCCCAAGCCCCAAGCACATCTCCAGGCAACATCTGGTAAAATATACCATGTCGACTCCCAAGTCAAGAGTTCCGATGAACTTCCAATGAGACGGCACTGCAAAGAGAGCCAGCCCACCGGTGAACTCTGAGACAATTTATCCTGATGCAGAGCAAAAGAAATGAGCGTAACTTACACGATCAGTTCTCTCAAGGAAATTCCGCCTTCCTTTAACATGGGGGTCACCAGTTCAGCAAGGTACAACCAAATATGTGGGATATCAATAGCCATGTCGTCTGCTAGCTCCAAGGTTTCTGAAAAACTGAAAAGGAATTGGAAAAAGAAAAAAAGTACATGCAAATGCAAAAGTTAAAAAAAAATTTTTTTTTAAGACAATGAAAATCAGTTATTCAACAAATACATATTCAACGCCTACTACGTGTAGGGCCAGGTGCCCTGGAGGCACAATGGTTAGGACTCGAGTGCTAACTGAAGGCCAGCGGTTAGTACCCACCAATGCTCTGCAGGAGAGAGGCCCTAGTGACCTGCTCCCAAAAAGACTTCGGTCTGGGAAACCCTGGGGGGCAGCTCTGCTCTCTTTCACGGGGTTGCTCTGAGTCGGAGGTCACTCTCCAGCACACGGCAACATGTATTAAACACTGTCCCAGGCGTAAAGGAGAGAGAGACCAGCAGAACCCAAACAGATTTTCAGAGAGGGAGGACACAGTTTGCGAATGCGCACAAGGATCCTGGAGCCATCTGAGGGTGGTCAGAAACGCATCCACACGAACACGAGCACAAGCACAGCCACGTACAGCTCTGGGAGCCAGTTTCCAGGTTCACCTCACACAGGAAGTAATTCACCCCAGGCGAAAAGCATGGCCTCCAAGCCAGTCAGAAGCACTGAGCAAACCCCGACTGAAGTAAAGACCAGGCGCACAGAGAGAAAAAGTGATGACAGTCCGCCCTTGGAGGGCAAAACCAGAATGGGTATAAAAGACAAACGTTGCCCATGATTATTCTTGTCATTATCTGGAATTGACTTGATGGTGGGGTACTACAGGTTGTTAAACCTTGAGGAAACTGTCAGTAGTTTGACATTTCGGTGGTGGTAGTATGGGGCACAGAGTCATGTATTTCTGAGTGGTAAAGTAAAATAAATAAAAACCTGGGAAAATTCAAATGCAAACTACCAGCAGTCTTTGCCAGGCTGAAACTCACGGTTATTCCTTTAGACTATAAACAATTATAATGCAAGAGTTGTTCATCATTTTTACACGGGTTATATAAAGCATAGTAAAAAGCACAAAAGCAAAAGTGAACTTTAATGGAGGAGACAATGTCTCAAAACTGCAAGGACCAAGGAAAGGAAAACCAGGAGGAAGAGGCCTGCCGGCAATGGTACTCGACGTCCTCTCCGAGTGCTGCAGACGTAAAAACGTGCAGTTCCAGTGTGCAGCCAGAAGCGGCCACTCTTTGTACCTGCCTGTGATGCAAACACGTCATTAAAATGCTTCATCTTGAGCCCCCACTACAAGGCAGGGGTGCTTTTCGGAAGCTGCCATTTCATAAGAGATTGCAGCTCAGCCACATTACCCAACTCTGGGTTTAGTGAATCCTTAATGCCAGCTTCCTGACCTCACAGCTTGCAAATATTTGATGTCTATTTGCTACACAACAGATACTTGCCCGTCCTCTCATTAGTGGTACACTTACAGTCAGTTAATGGGCCACTGAAGGGACATCATCTGGCTGGCCTCCAGGATTGCTCAGTTAATCACGCTACACTGCCAGTTCATGTTCTATGGGCTAGCAGCATAGATTAAGCTGTTTAATGAGCTCAGATGGCAACTGCGGCCAACTGCAGCCATCCCGGCAGGTCTTTCGGCAATATGTCTGCTATCGTTTTCATCTGGTATCACAACTAAAAGATGCCTGTGTTCCTGCCCTGTTTTGTCTACTCGGTCATGGCTTAGTTTCCAGAACACAATGATTGGTCATATCCATATTGCTGCTAAAAATAAGAAAGATTTAGGCTGACTATAGGATTTTGCCGAAAAAAGGCTGGAAGAGACCTACACTTTACCTCAGATTTACAGATCCAGACTGCTTCGCCCATGGTCTACAAACAAACAAGCAGACACACACATAGGAGTGCAGAAGCTTTGGGTAACTATCTTGCTATCTTCTACTAATCTACACAGTCTACAACAATGTGCTGAACAATACTCGTGTTCTGTTGGCTGAATAAATGCAACAGCTACACCACACGTTTGCTTCTCATCATCAAGTGCCCATGAGACCCACTGGACTACACTTTGACGTGACTTTAAGCATCCTTCCTGCCTGCCCTACTTCAACGACAGAAGCTCTACCTTTATTTCATATACTGGCTTCCTATCTAATTAAAGGGATGCAAGTTAAAAGTTCAAAACCAAGTATGACTTTGACACACAAAAGCGACTCTCTCTACAGGTAAGAAGAAACAAGACGATGAAAAGCTTACTTATGGTCCAGTATCATTCAATTGTGGGGCTGTCAGAAACAGGGTGGCTTACACTAGACCTGGCCTTGTGGGCAAACAGGACCTATTCACTAGTAAACAAGTCTCTTGGACATTTTGCCTTTGAAAATAGGGTCATGTCTAGAGTAGGCACTGAATAGTATCTTTTTTTTTAGCCAAGGCAGAACTCCATACGCAGTAATACGTTCCAGAAAAAGTAGTCAACGATGAAATAAAAATGACTTCTCAAAAAAACATCTTCCAAAGTGAAATGTATCAAGCTACATGTTATATCTATTACCAACTCCAATGTTTCTCATCTTGATTTTCATTTATATATTGCGCTCTCAAAGTCATTCCAATTCTGTTGTGGACAGAGCATTACATTAGTTACATCTATGGGGCAGTTTTTAAAAAAGCTATTTTTTGATCATGGTATGTAAAGTGACTGCATTAACACTCTTGATTGAATTTTGAAATGTGCAATTTGCATCACAAAGTATTATATTCAAGTTCTGAGAATATCAAGAGGAAAACTTAATGATGCTTTTTGAAGTTATGTTGTCTTACAGCTACTATTATGCTCAGCATTGATATTGCATCATGTGAGAAAAACCCCAAAGGACCAAAACTTTATTTATAAACAATCTGACAGTGAGTTTCTTTGCAACTTCTACTTTGCTATACTTAGCAGCAAATGCATGCCCTGAAGGGAATTAAACGGCAGACTGCGCTTTAACTAAGAAGGACCATGGTGTGAGCTAGGACATCGTCTTCTGTCCATGTTTCCAAAGTATGCCTGCCTTGGGGAGCTAAGCCAAAACTGCTTCCACGACTGCTGGAAGTTGGCATCGAAGCAGTAATAGCTTCTAAGGGAGCTGACTTCCTTCAAACACTATGTCCCCCGCAATACTCTAAAAATAGAAGGACAGGCTCTTTGGAAGTTGGAGTGACAGATAAAAAAGACTCAGGGCATTCCCATAGCCTGTGTTGGCAATATGGACAATTCATACTGTGGACTTTAAAAATTATTTGGAAACTCTGCTCTAGTAGCCAGGAGGCCCTTGGAGGAGGCTGACATGAGGTACTGTTTTGTGTCCATCTTAGACAAAGATGGGCACTCTATTAGCAGTCTCTCCATTTAGGTAGGAATACATCTCTTACTAATACCAGTGAGTACACCAACGAAGAAAATGTTCTAACACGATTGCAGTGATGACCGTGCACTCTTCTTGATGTGACTGAACCACTGAATTGTACGTATGTGAATTGTATTACATGCCAATAAAACTGCCGGGGGGAAACAGAACTCATCTTTTAGGGATCTTATCTAAGGATGGTCTGGCTTAACTATTAAAGGCCTTCTGGCAGAAGAAGGAATTCAGAGAGTTGAAGTAGCTGCTGAGACACAGAACTGCTAATCTCATTTTCCATTTAAAACAAAAACGCTGTGGTTGTGGTATCTGTTGCCAGCAGCAGTGACAGTACGACTGCCAATGAAAGCCTGGCTACCATGTCTGCCTGGGTCACTGCACCACTGCCCACCTCTGGGAAGTAATCCCTGGAAGGGAAATGCAAATGTCTAAGATATCCCAGAAACCATGCTAGTGCCTCACAAGTTCAATCACAGCTAACGAAGTGGGACCACACTGCCAATGGATCTTTCTGAATATGAAATCAACTTATGAGAGCAGTTTGGAGAGAGAAAGAAAGTGGCAAATAATAATCCAGCATTCTCGCTGCGAGCAGGTTATTTATAAATTGATACAGTCTTTCTATGTTTCTGAATCTTGTTGCTTATCCGAGTTGGCGGGACACGGCCTGGGCTTGCTGGTGAAAGAGGAGACAGCCTGACTTGCTCTTTTACTCTCTGCTTTGGTTGCTACTGGAATGAAGCACAGATTTTTCTTTGAAAATTAGGAAACCATCCTGGCTTTCAATTTAAAGGCCAACTATTACAACCACTTTGGCTACAGTTCCCAACTAAGTGAAGTGGGTGAAATGGCCCTACGAGGGAATCAAGCAAGCTCCAGCTTACTGTGGAAAGAGTCTTTTGATCCTAAGCAGCAAGTATATACTTCTCGCTACGTCAAGGGCAGCACCTTTATTTCTCACAAAATTAAATTAGTAACTATTTTTAAATCCATTAAACCTTGGCATTCAGCTGCTTCACCCTTTAAGACATTGGCTTATATTTGAAATGATTACAGGAAGATATACAATTATGTATCATCAAACAAACATTTAAGTTGGAGTCCCTGGGTGGTGCAAATGTTCAACACGTTAAGCTGCTAACTAAAATACTGGCAGTCTGAGTCCACTGGCAACTGGATTATTTTTCTTTCAACATTTAATGGACAGGAAATCAATATGGTTATTACTGTGTGCTGTGGAATCAGTTCTGACTCAGAGACCCTAAATGACAAAGTAGAACACCCTAGGGCAGCGGTTCTCAACCTGTGGGTCATGACCCCTTGGGGGTGTGTGTGTCAAATGACCCTTTCATGGGGAGCACACCAATTAATAACAGTAGCAAAATGACAGTTATGAAGTAGCAATGAAAATAATTTTATGCACTAGCCTACCCCGACACGATAGCTGAAGACAAAGCGGATGCAAAAGCAAATTCAGTGAAGAAAGCTGATGGCGCCTGGCTTTCAAAAGATATAGAATCTGGGGTCCTATAGGCTGGAAGATAAACAAGGGGCCATCTAACTGAGAAACAACAAAGCCCACATGAAAGAAGTACACCAGCCTGTGAGATCACAAGGCATCGAAGGGATCAGGTATCAGGCATCAAAGACCAAAAACCAAACCAAAACAAAACATAGCATTGTGATTGAGAGGAAATGCACAGTGGGGACCCAGGGCCCATCTGTGGGAAATTGTACACCTCTTGCAGAAGGGCTGTGGGGAGGAGACAGCCAGTCAGGGTGCAGTGTAGCAATGATAAAATATACAATTTTCCTCTAGTTCTTGAATGCTTTGTCCCCCACTATCATGATCCCAATTCTACCTTACATATCTGGCTGGACCGGAGGATGTACACTGAAACAGATAGGAACTAGAAACACAGGGAATCCAGGACAGATGAACCGCTCAGGACCAGTGGTGAGAGTGGTGATACTGGGAGGGTGGAGGGAAGGTGAGGGAGAAAGGGGAAACAGATTACAAGGTCTACATATAACCTCCTCCCTGGGGGATGGACAGCGGAGAAATAGGTGAGGGGAGATGTCGGATGGTGTAAGATATGACAAAATAATAATAATTTATAAACTATCAAGGGTTCATGGGGGAGGGAGGAATGCGGAGGGAGGGGGAAAAATGAGCTGATAGCAAGGGCTCAAATAGAAAGCAAATGTTTTGAGAATGATGATGGCAACATATGTACAAATGTGCTTGACACAATTGATGTATGTAAGGATTGTGATAACAATTGTATGAGCCCCTAATAAAATGATTAAAAAAAAAAAAGAAAAAAAATAATTTTATGGTTGGAGGGGTGTCACCACAAAATGAGGAATTCTATTAAAGGGTTGCGACATTAGGAAGGCTGAGAACCACTGCCATAGGGTGTCCTAGATTACAAACTTTTCTACTATGGAGCTGCTGGGTGGATTCAAACTGCCAATCTGTTGGTAAGCAACTGAGCGTTTAATCCTTGTGCTACCAGCTTCCTTAATATAAGACTAGCTTGGAAAGAAAAAAAATTAACAAAGAAAAATAATAACTGCATAATATGGAAAATGTGTATCTGGTATTCCTGCCAGGAGGCCTTAGAGAGTGGGTAGCTGGCAGTGCTGGGTACGATTCTATGTTTACATGTAGTACACTGAGATCCTAAGAGGAACATTTTTACCATATGTAATTTTTACTTTAAACACTGATTCTAGAACCTAGCCAAGGATGAAATTCTGTGACCGTGCCACATAGAAGCTGATGCATCTGTGATGGTCTATATCACAAGGAGACCAGGTCCTGACAAAATGAGGTGACCTCTCCAATGGTGGCTAGACTTCATCAAACCAGCCAGACTCATAACCATGGTTTTTAGAAAAAACAAACAAACAAACAAAACCAAACACGCCTTTTCATGTCAATTTTGACTTTCCACAGTTACTCTTACAAAGCAAAAGGTTTTCCCTCAAAGGATATGTAGGGTTTGTATGTAAGTGAGCTGGTGAGGAACCCAGAGGTTCCTCCAGGTCAAGGTGCCTCTGTTAACTTACCACGTCATGGTACAGGTGTAACAATCAAGTATTAAAACCAGAAGATCACCTTTATGCCCTAGCAGAATATACAAAATGTCATATCAACCAATCTATTACATGTTATCAACATATTATAGCAATTTAATTGTTATCTACGGTAGAGGCTAAATACTTAGAAATATAAGTACTTTAAAAACGAACTGCTACCCAAGAGCCTCGAAACAGAATAGTTCTTGAGAAGAATACCAACCCTTTGAAAAAGTCCTGTTTGCTGAGTTTCTCTGACTGCACCAGCTGGTGCAGCAATTGACCCATGTGATCCCTGGTGATCTGGCTCCTTTCCAGGGTGGACTCCACTCCCACTCTCACAAAAACATGCAGCAGGCCCTGGGCGTTCAGCTCTTCCACACACTGCATGGCTTCCTGTTCAAATAACAAATGGAGGCTTACTCCCGCAACCGCACAGCCCCACCAGAGTTCTTGCTGAAGTTCTTGTAAGAACTTCACAATCTTTTACTTAGGACAAAGTCAATAGAAAGAAAGCTCAATGAACAAGACAGTGGCCACATTTTTCTTAAATCTAATATTGCTAAGTAAGGTGCAGGTTGAAATGGGCAACATTAGTCATACTTGAAAATATCAAAACGATGTTTCTTTATAAGGCTAATGTTATGAGAAATAATTCTATTAAAGATCAAATCTATTTTTCCTTTATGTTTAACCTTTCCTGTGCTTACTTTAAAAACTGAAAATGGTGTATTATGAAATAGAAACTCAAAGTCATGATTCAAAGGTCTTAATGTGGAAACAGAAGTAATTCTGTTTCGGAATATAATGCTTTTACAATCGTCCATGAGGAAGATGGGGATACGAGCCCATCGTGGCAGCCACCGACACGTGTCAGTCCATCTTGTCGAGGGGCTTCCCCTCTTTCACTCTCTACCAAGCATGCTGTCCTTCTCCTGACAGATCCAAGGTATGTGAGACGAAGTCTCGCCATCCTCGATTCTAAGGCGTGTTCTAGCTCACTTCCTCTAAGACAGGTTTGTTTATTCTTCTGCAGTCCGCGGCACTTTCAATACTCTTTGCCAGCACTATAATGCACATGAATTGATTGTGCCTCAGTCTTCTTTGTTCAATGTCCAACCGTCACATGCATAGGAAGTGAGCGAAAATACTATGGCTTAGGTCAGGCTTACCTTAGTCCTTAAAGCAACATCCTTGCTTTTCAATACTTTCAAAAGTTCTTGTGCTATAGATTTGCCCAATAAATACATTTGATTTTTTGACTGTTTCCATGAACAACGACTATGAATCCTTGACTTTAATCTTTTCTCAGTTTACCATGATGTTATCTATTGGTCCACTTGAGATTTTGGTTTTCCTTACACTGAGTTGCAATCCATACTGAAGGCTACAGTCCTTGATCTTCATTAGCAAGTGCCTCAAGTGGTCTCCACTTTCAGCAAGCCAGGTTGTGTTACCTGTATTTTGAAGGTTAATAAGCATTCCTCCATTCTTCTTCATATTGTTCAGATTACTTGTTCAGCATGTAGATTGACTAAGTATGGTGAAAAGATACAACCTTGATGTAAACCTTTCCTGATTTTTAACCATGCAGTAATCTCATTTTATTTGATGACCACCTCTTGGTCCATGTACAAGTTCCAAAGGAGCACAATGAAGTGTTCTGGAATCCCCATTTTTCTCAAGGTCATGCATAATTTATATAATCCATACAGTCGAACGCCTTGGCGTCATTCATAAGACACAGGTAAACATCCTTCTGGCGCTCTCTTCTTCCAGCCAAGATCCACCTGACATCAGCGATGATAGCCCTGCTCCACCTCCTCTTCTGAATTCAGCTTGAATTTCTGGCATCTTGCCGTCATGCTGTTGTTGCATGATCTTCAACAAAATTTTACCTGCACTTAATAGCAACGATTTTGTTAAATAATTTCCACATTCTTTTGGGTCACCTTGGAATGGGTACAAATAGGGGTCTCTTCCAGTCGGTTGGGCAGATTGTGATCCATGTTTCTTGGCATAAATAAGTGAGTACTTCCAGTGTTTCTTCAGCTAGTTCAAACATTGTAAGTGGTATGCTATCAATCCCTGGAGCCTTGTTTATCAATAGTGCCTTTAGTGCACCTTGGACTTCTTCCTTCAGTAGCCTCATTTCTTGATATCTAACTCTTCAAATGGTTGGTACAGTGACCATTGGTACAGTGACTCTGAGTATTTCCTCCATCTTCTTTTGCTGCTCCCTGCATGATTCAATATTTTATTCAGAGAATCCTTCAATATTGCATGTTGAGGCTTGTTTTTTTCCTTCAGTTCTTTCAGCTCAAGATATGCTACGAGTGTTCTTTCTTTTTAACTTTCTAACTCCATGCCTTTCCCTGTATAATAATTGGTCTTCTTTAGTTGCCATTTGAAATCTTCCATTCAGTACTTTTACGTCATGGCTGCCATGTGCTTTAGCAACTTGATGATCAAGAGCAACTGTGAGTCTCTTCTGACATCCACTTTGACCTTTTCATTCTTTCCTGTCTTTTTAATGACCTTTTACTTTCTTCAAGACTGATGTTCTTGATGGCACCCCACAGCTTGTCAGGTCTTTTGTCATTAGGATTCAATGTGTCAAATCTATTGAGATATTCTCAAAATTCTGGTGGGACATATTGACATTAAATTTCAAAAAGGAAATTTGGCATTTATTTTCAAAAAGGGTATTCAAGATCTTAAAATATAAAGCTGTCTGTAAAGGATAAAATCTATACATATATCAAGGAAACCCAGTTTATATATAACTATTCAAATTCACACACCAAGCACTATAAAGCTAGTGATGAAGATGCTAAGAGCCCTATTAGCTTCTACAGTCTGCAATTGATCAAACATGTAATCAAGATGCACTGACAGTTATTGGTGATTGGAATGCAAAAGTTGCAAACAAAGAGGAAGGAACAGTAGATGGAAACGGTGGCCTCAGTAATAGAAACGATGCTGAGATTGCATGATAGAATTTTGTAAGACCAAAGACTTCTTCATTACAAATACCTTTTTCAACAACAAAGGACATCTATCCACACAGACTTCTCCAGATGGAATACACAGCAATTCAACTGACTACTTCTGTGGGAAGAGACAATGGAGAAGCTCCTAGCCATGGCCAAAATGAGGCCAGGGCTGACTGTGGAACAGACCATCAATTGCCTGTGTATAAGTTCAGGTTGAAGTTGAAGAAAATGAAAATTCCATGACAGCCTAAATACGACCATGTGAATTTTGAGGACATTGCAAGAATCGATTTGACGCTGACTTCGTAGGGTCTTCAAATAGTTTCTAAAGGCCAACTCCACTGCTGTCTTCCACATAATCTCTACTTTATATCTTTCTTAGCTTTCTAATTCTGTTCTTTTTCCTCACACACTTCCCACTTTCACAAAAGCAAAAAGCTGTCCTTCTAGTTTACGAGAAGATACCTTATTTTCTAGGAAACCTACTCACAAACCATATGAGAACATCATTATATCCTGTGGTTTTTTCCAGATAATGAATTTTTTGGGGGGGGGGGTGGATCTACATCATCAAGTCTTCTGAAAACCAGTCCTCTCTATCTCACTATCATCAAAACATCTTCATATTACTTCTCAATTTGTGACCATTTCAGAGGCTTGAGGGCTTCAGCAGACTGGGCTACAGAAGTCAAGGTAACTTTTGTGTACAGAAAGCAGATAGTGACTTGATTGAGAAGAAAATAACCTTGAAATAATTTTAATAATATAATGCCAAAAAAAGTGGTTAATATGCATGACAGAAATGTTTTAAGAAATGAGACATTTAACAGCCAAGTCTTCCTGATTCCAGATACTAAATTAGCACCCATTGTATGCTCTCTCCTAAGTCCTTACAAATCTGAATACATATATATAACTATATATAGATATATATAACTAATTTATGTAACATTATGGATTTAGCTATTTATGATCTGTCTCTGCCACTAGACTGTAGTGCTCATGAGGCTAGGCAATATGTGTATTTCATTCAGTACCATCTCAAAATAGAACCCAAGTAAAAGGGTTATTTTACAGGGGCAAATTCAAAGATCATGTCTTGGAATGTCTTAGGCTATCTGATCCTTTGCACCTTCAATGTCAATAGTAAAAGGATAATAAAATGACTAGAAAGAACATGACAGGTATATAAGAGTGCCAGGAACACTCATCAAGACATGTCTTGTTTTTGTACATGAATATAAAAAGTCAATTTGGTTTTCCTACACTGAGGATGGGTTAGTTCCCATTCGCTCTTGCCTCCACTCAATCTTGTGACCTCCAGTGTCAATGAATAAGAGAGAACTCAGCAGAATGCATCAAAGTAAACAACATGCAGCAGGGCTTAGAAACTGGACTGAAGTCTTATCAAACAGAGAAACTCCGTTTAGACAAGAATCAAGGCTGTGTCTTAGGGCAGTTGCCTATGAATGAAAAATGGTTACTTCTGTTGCTGACACGGCTTTCTCTTCGAAAACTCTCATTTACCTTAAAGTCGTTAATGTGTAGGAATTCATCAATGATAGATCTGGACTTCTTCTCCATCTCCTCTTCTGACAGTGCAGGCTTGTCTGGGGCTGAAGTGGCTGAAATTTCCGGTTTAGTTACTAGTGAGGTTAAAAAAAGTGAGAAAGTGAAAATGACGATTACTGTTAAAATGGTGGGATTATAGTCAACAATGTATGTGTTGTTATATTATTTTGGTTTTTTTAAGACATAAATTGTTTTATTAACAAATCATTGATTATTACTACAGAGTCTATGTGTCCTTGCTTTCACATTGAAAAAAATGGTTTAACAGTATTCATGACACAATTGCTGTATGTGGGAATAATAGTAGCCAATAATAAACTCCACTCTCTTTTCACACCAACTATCAATCTCTAGATTATAGCACACATGGAACATTGCATTCTAATCTCTAAATGGGGAGTCAGAAATGTTTACAGAAATACATCTGATAAGAAGCTAAAATATGTTACTGCAAATAGCTATGAAACCCTAGTAAAAGGCTCCTTAGTTTCTCATCTATAAACAGGTTCACAAATCATTTGGAAAATCAGCCTAGAGGCAAACAGCCACCTGCGTGCCCCAGCCCCACGCCTGCAGCAACCACTGCTGAGAAAGGCCAACCAGCACTAGCTGTGGACGATCACACTGAAGCCTGAAGCTTGTACGCAAGCCTTGGTTCCGGCTCAGTTTCCTGGCTTGGACTGGTCAACTATGGCTTCCTTCAGAATCTTCACTCGGGAATGGAAGCGAGTGTATGTCTGCAGAATCTCCTCCTTCAGTGCTGCAGTCGTTTCTGTGAGGGGCACGTTGAGACTGTCCATCTCAGATGCATTTATTATGATTTTGTTTTTAAGTGATAGCATACCATCATTTTGTCACTGGAAAGGCAAAAGTGACCTCTCAAGGCAGCAAACGCTGCATGGGTAGAATAGCGATGGAAACCAATGGCAACCCCACAGGAGCTGCAGAATCAAAGGTTGTAAGTACTCAGCCCCGCTTGGTGGTCCATGTGAGGATGTAGAAGGTAGGCTGTTATACTGTATCTCACAGTAAAAGCGTTGAAAAAAAGCAAGACATCTGAAATCAAAATACAGAAACCTTTTGATTTGGAACAGAGAAGCACTAGGAAACTTATAATCATGAGGCAATTCTTAGACAGTAATCTGAACAGGTCTTCAAGAGCAGTACATGTTACTGCTGCTGCGGGCTGTCAAGTCAATTCCAGCTCACAGCGGCCCGACAGAGGAGAGTTAACTGCCCCGTTGGGTTTCCCAGGTAATCATCTTGTAAAAAGTGTGTCTGCTGTTGCTGAGGAGCACATACGCAGCAAAACAGACACCATTGCATCAGTTTCTACATGTGAAACTTGATGATATAGATTACATTCCTTTTTAAATCATTTTATTAGGGGCTCATACAATTCTTATCACAATCCACACATACATCAATTGTGTAAAGCACATTTGTATATTTGTAGCCCTCATCATTCTCAAAACATTTGCTCTCAGTTTTGAGAATGATGAGGGCAATGTACAATGATGTACAATGTACAAATGTGCTTTACACAATTGATGTGTGCATTAATTATGATGAGTTGCATGAGCCCCTAATAAAATGATTTTAAAAATTAAATTAAATTAAAAAATAAGCAAAACAACATTTGATCTCGACTTAAACCATGGCATCAGCTCCTCATTTTTTCCATCTCCCTCCCTCCCGACCACCCCCTCCCTCATGAGCCCTCGATAATTTATAAATTATTATTTCGTCATATCTTACACTTTCTGACGTCTCCCTTCACCCACTTTTCTGTTGTCTGTCCTCCAGGGAGGAGGTTATATGTAGATCCTTACATTCTTTGAGGTGTGCATCCTTTGGGGTTCTCACCCACCTTTTCCAAGTGATTTCTCTCCCATTAACAGAAACTCACTGCCTATGTTTCTTATCTAACCTTTTGAGTTGCAGTGGTCCATCTGATACCACACAGATAGAGCTGGAAAGAGCACAGTGCTAAGGGTAGGTCCCACCACTGTTTGCTCTACAGAAGACAGCAGGGGTACCTTTGGCATAGGGTTTATAGTGTCAGGGAGTCACCAGCTGCCACAAAGTGTAGACCCCAAGAAAAACTGAAATTCCCTTCTGCATTTCCCCTCTTTTTATCAGGGTTCTTCAATAGAATCTTTGATCAAAATGTCCAGTAACTTGGCCAGATGACCTCCCTATAGACCAGACCTGAGTTAGTTTTGTTCCCCCCCTCCGAGTTAGCTTTATGTGCAAGTATCTCTTACTTGTTCCACGACAGAAATTTCTTCCCTGGCTTTTGGAATGTTGATGAGGGTCTTTTCTTTCTTACTCATTATTTGTATTTTGGTCTTTATATTATTATTGTTTTATCCTTACCACTTTATTTTGAATTTGGTTTTTATTGTTTCTGTTGGGTTTCCCAGTGTGCGCCCCACAAGAGGAGTGGATGCATAGTGACAATAATGGATACAGGGGTTGATAGGTGTGCAGGGTAGGAGTAAGTGATAGGGAGGGAAGGGGGATTTCGGGAGTGGGAAATAAGGACAGGAGCGGGGAGGGAGCACTAGAACTGCCTGTGATTGCACAACTCATTTTAAAGGTGTTTTAATCATGGGGGGACTGGGGAGGGTGTTCTAAAATTGATATGGTAATGACTGTATAATTCTCCTTGATATGATTAAATAAATGAACTACTGAAGTGAGCTATGTAAATTATGTGCTAATAAAACTGTTAAAAAAAGAAATGCTCAGTAATGGTCTTAGGCTGTAATCTTTATGGGAGCAAATCACCAGGTCTTGTTGCCTTTGGAAATGCAAGTGGGTTCAAAGTGCCAACCTTCTGGTAGCAGCTGAGTGCTTACCCAGTGTGCCATGGGGTGCTCCTTATTAATAAGCACACACCCAAACCATGGAACTGACCAAGGAAGATGAGAACAACAAAAGACAACTTGGTATCGTCTCTTTGGTTAGTCTCACAATGGCTTGGATCATGTGGGGATTTGCATTCATTTGAGGGACTCTACAAAGCAGGTTTCCCAAAAGGGAATCCATTTGGAGGTTGTTGAGTATGGAAATGCTTTCATGGCTCAACCATCACATACTGAGCACATCAGGTCTCACATGGGTTGCAATAGCTGTTGAGTGTAAGCAACGTGGATAAGCCCGCAGTTGTCACCCTAGCCTAACCATTTTTCTGAGAACACTTAAAAGAAAGCTAGCAAATAATAAAAAGGGCTATGGGAAGGATTTCAGTTGTGGGTCATCCCTTAAGGATCCTATGAGAACATGCATAAATGTAACAAATGTGGTTAGGTTTCTGTTCATTTCTTGTCCTTTGGACACATGAGATGTCTTCAACATGACTGTAAAGAATGTTCTTTACAGTCCTACAATTTATGTACTACAGTCACCATTCCTAATTTTACACGACACATTTCAGAAGTTTGTTAATCATCACGTATGTCAGGAATAAGGAAGGCGGTCTAGTGGCATAGTGCATTACATGTTGAGTTGCAAACTACAAAGTCAGCATTTTGAACACAGCAGCCACTCCACTGGGAAAAACATGACGCTTTCTTCTCCCATAAAGACTTACAGCCATGACAGGTGCCAAACCCAACCCAGGGATACGTATGGCGGCCAAATAACAAGGGAAAAAAATAGACAGGGGTGCCAGGGGAACAGGGCACTAAACCACCCAAGGGGAGGGTGTTGTTTATATCTCCACAGGAGAGGGAGAGAGGGACCAGACTTCAACCTGGCGCGTCAAGACATGAATGCAACATACAGGCATGAACCAGGGAACCAATACAGAAATCAACGGGGCTGGCCACCAATCCCAACTCCTTGAACACCCCCACCCCCACCGCAGGGGAATGCACTTCAGAGGACAGCACTGAAGCGGCAGCTCAGTAAGTGGGGTGCATCTAATCAGGAGCAAATGAAGCAGGGAAGGAGAGAGAGTGGAACACGCCTTGGTCCACACCAAGCCCTGAGGACAATATACAAGCTCAGAGCAGCCAAAGCACAGAGAGGATCACAGGGCAGGCCCCACCATCAGACAACATGTTCCTCACTGACACATCGTGTTAAGGGGGACAGCACTGGGGACACAGTGTGGGAGATGTGCCCGATCCGACCCACTGCACTGGGGTGAATGCTAAGAGTGTACAGCGGAGCAGCAAGGGGAACAAAACAATGAAGTCCCCAAGGAATGCCAAAGGTGGACTTGGGGGCCAGGGCATGGCAACCCAGTGGACTCAACTGGAAAACACTCATAAAGGTCAACAGACAGACCTGGAACTGTTTGAAGGTTTTCCAGTTTTTACTGTTAGCTTTACTTTTTCTTTATTATTTATTTTTGTTTGTTTTGTTGTATTAGCTGTTGATTTATTTTTTGTCTTCTTTTTTGTAACGTTTTTGCTCTGCTTTGTTTTTGGGCGCATTATTGTCTCTGCATGTCTATCTGGACAAGGTGGGTGGGATGAACAATCCGGAGGAGAGAACAATGGGACTGACAGTTCCTGCGGGGGAGGGAGGCACGGGAGAGGGAGATATGGGGGAAAAGGAGGAGGGTGCAAATAAACACAGGGACAAAAGAAAAATAAGTGATCTAACATTGATGGCGAGGAGGGCATAGGATGTTGGGGGTAGGGGGGTGGCCGGAGGGGGCGTTGGGGCTTGATCCAAAGGCAAAGTAGCTGAGAGGAATTACCAAAACCCAAATGAAGGCCGAACGTGGTACTGGGACTGGAGGAAAGTAAAAGGAATGGAGGAAAGAACTGGGAGGCATAGGACAGCTACAGAGGTCTAAATGCAGGCATGTATATATGCAACATATACAATGACAGGGCAATGGAAATATGTACATATATTTACTTATAGAGTAAGACGGTAGCAGATGGACATTGGGCATCCACTCAAGTAGTCCCTCAATGCAAGAACAATTTGTTCTATTAACACGGCACTCTGTGATGTTCACCTTCCCTGACACGATTGCTGAAGACAAAATGGGTACAATAAGCAAATGTAGTGAAGAAAGCTGATGGTGCCCGGCTATCAAAAGACACAGCATCTGGGATCTTAAAGGCGTGAAGATAAACAAGTAGCCATCTAGCAGAGAAGCACAAAACCCACATGGAAGAAGCACACCAGCCTGTGTGATCATGAGGTATCGATGGGATCAGGTATCATGCATCAAAGACCCAAAACAAAACAAATAAAAAGCATTATCAATGGGAGTAAGGGGGAGGGCATAGTGGAGACCCAAAGCCCATCAGAGGTCAATTGGACACCCCGTCAGAACGGCCAGAAAGAAGAGAAGAGCCAGTCAGGGTGAAGTATAGCACCGATGAAACACACAATCTTCCTCTGGTTCCTTAATGCTTCCTCCCCCCAACCCCCAACATGACCCCAAATTTATCTTACAAATCTGGCTAGACCAGCACATATATACTAGTACAGAAAAGAGCTTGAAACACAGAGATTCCAGAACAGATAAACCCCTCAGGACCAATAAGGGGAGGAGTGATACTAGGAGGAGAATGGTTTGGAGTGGGGCGTTGGGGGTGGGGGGAGTAAGGGGAAACGATCACAATGATCGATGGATGGCTCTCATGCCAGGGGATGAATAGCAGAAAAGTGGGTGAAATGAGACCGCAGTCGGTGTAATACATGGAGAAAAGAAAAAGAATAATTTATAAATTGTCAAGGGGACATGGGGGAGAGAGGGTGGCGGGTGGAGGGGACAAAATGAGGAACTGATGCCAGGGGCTCAAATAGAAATAACATGCTTAAAAAAAGATGATGGCAACAAATTTACAAATGTGCTGACACAATGGATGCATGGATGGATTGTGCTAAGAGTTGTATGAGCCTCAAAAAAATTATTATTTTTTTTTAAAAGGAGAAGCAATCTAGAAGGAAAGGACAGAATCTTCAAAGTCATGGGTCTTAATTACAAAGGTGCTTCCAAAAGTTCATGGGAAAATAAGATGAAAAGATAATGGGATTCTTCTATGAAAAAAAGAAAATGATGATAATGACATGTGTACAGCAGTGTTTGACAACATGGATGTATGTATGGATTGTGAGAAGAGCTGTAAGAGTCTCCAATAAAATGATTTTTAAAGAAAGAAAGAAAAGATTCACAGTCTTGGAAATCCAAGGGGCAGTTCTACTCCGTCCTATAAGGCCGACCTGAGTTGCTGGCAGGGAGCGTGGGCACGAGAGAATGGTGTGTTGACGCCAGTGCACAGTGGGGTGTGATTAAAGAGACCGAGAAGAGATGCAGATGCTCACAAACAAGAGGAGCGTATCACCCAACAGTCAATAGAGAAAGATGAAAATGTACAAAACTGCCGAGGAAGCTAAAGACCCAGGGCTGAGAACTATGTGACAAAAAGCAGGCGCAGAGGTCCCTGAGTGGTGCCAGATCTTTACTTTTGATCACTAACCTAGAGGGCTGGCTATTCGAACCTACCCAGCAGTGCCACACAAGGCAAGCCTAGGATCTGCTTCTATGAAGATTACAACTAGGAAAATCAGACGGAGCAGTTCTTTTCTGTAATACATGGGGTTGTGATGAGCCAGGACTGACTGGCTTGATGGCAATGGGTTTAGGTGCACCCCCCCACCCCCCACCCCCAGTTTAGGTGTGTTGCTTTTATGTATTGCTATGAAATCTCAAGCACAAAGTCTCCATAGTATTTGTTTTTCCAAATTCAGGGCCCAGATCTTCACGTGCAGTCTCTCACCTGGCTCCCTTGTTTTGTTGCGGTCTGCCTCAGTAATGCTCCTCTCAATATCCATGCCTCCTGTCAGCTGTTTCACAGTCTCTAGCATCTCTCTCCGTTGTTCTTCTTGAGACTGATTGTCTAACAGATCTTTACTGCTGCTGCCCCTCATGAAGGTGTTTGGACAAGCTGCTGCCGACGGAGGGGGTTTGTCGTTCTTCTCTCTGCCCACGCTTCCACGACTTGAAAGACAAAACATGACTTGAGACCACTCCTTCCCTACAGATTCAGTTAAAAGTAACCCTAAAGATCTTTAACCCTTGTAGGAAAATGTCACAGGTGTTTGAGACACCATTTACTTTAGAGTAAAATTAATTCATATAAAAAGAAAACGCAGTATTAAGGGGTCACAAGGGTGGTGGTGGGGGGAGGGAAAAAAGAGGCGCTGATATCAAGGGCTCAAATAGAAAGTAAATGTTTAGAGAATGATGGCAACATGTACAAATATGCTTGATACAAATGATGTACAGAATGTTATAAGAGCTGTAAGAGCCCCAATAACATGATTTTTTTTTAAAAAAGAAAGAAAACTAAAGAGTGCTTTAAAGGGATACTAATTGCATTCTAAAACTATCTTTAACAATTCCTTAATTTTAAAAAGTCTTTTAACTATATTATATTTTAAAAATAAAGATGCCCATGATAAAAGTATATGTTAAAAATATTTATAGACTGAAAGTTCATATATTTGCGTATTTGAGAACTAGGTAGCAGAAATATGCAGTCTTTCAAAAGTCAAAGTGATACACTTTCCTCATTTTAAGACTCTTCATATCTTCTTATTTATTCTACTTTTCTGGGTTGTTTTGCTGTTTAACCAGCTAGGCCAATGGCAGACAGAAGCAGCGGGTTTGAAGGGAAAGGCTGGGAGAGCCTCGAGGCAGGACAATAGTCTTACCACTAGGAGAGAACACACACAGGAGCTCAAACAGCAGGACCATCGGGGACATTTACGGCGGACCAAATACATGTGCAATAGCACAAAAGTATATATTATATACTTTTAAATCCGTTTGGCTAAGTTTACTTTGTAAGCTATGTTCTTTGCGCCCTTAGCTTCAGAAACAAAATATTCTTAACCAAAGTCCGCTCTTCCATGACTCGAGCTGTTCCATGACTTGACTTAAGAAAGCTGGCTTTCTTAAGAAGGCAACTGTTAGTAATCAATCTCCCCTTCTCTTTCACCTTACATCAAACCCACCACTGAATTATGTTCTTTGGGAAATTTTAGACTACGAAGATCAAAGAAGAAGGCAAAATTCGCCTTATTAAAGAGAGAGAAAATAAATGTCAGGAAGAGGATTGTCTGCCACAAGGATCATTATCACCTGTGTGGTTTGCCCCTGAGAGAAAGAGAGCGCAGACGTACCGATAGGAAGAAAAGCCTAGAAAGCAAGTGGGCGTCTTACCTGGTTAAAGTCCGTCGAGAATCAAACTCCAAAGGTGTGGATGACGTGGAGCCTGAGGGTGCTGGGGGTTGCAGAGCAGAGAATCTGTTTAAACTGGAAGCACTTGACCGTAAGGCATCTACAGGTGTTGAAGATTTAGAAAAAATACAAATCACATCGCTAAAATCCAGATTCTGATTCACCTTCCTCATTTGGTTGGGGCCTGAGGCTTGAATTTCTAACAAGTTCCCAGGTGGTGCCAATCTGAGGTCCACAGACCATACTCTGAGAAGCAAGGCGTTAGAGGGAATTTGCATGTAAAAGACAGGTTAGAAGTCTTCACTCATTTAAAACCATTTGCTTCTTTCAAAGCAATTGAATTATCTACTTAGGGCATGGGAATAGGAGTGGTAAATTAAGGGGGTAGGGTTGGGGGCATAAGGATGGAAGTAAATATAAAACCACTGCAATTCTATAATTCCATTTATGTAAGTACTATAATTCCATTTATATCAGATTATGTGGATATTTAAGCGAACACAATTATGTGTTGCCTTAACATCCATGATGTTGTATACCAGCTGTTCTCAACCTTCCCAATGCCACGACCCTTAATTATAGTTCCTCATGTTGTGGTGACCCCCCCCAACATGAAATTATTTTTATTGCTACTTCATAACTGTAATTTTGCTACTGTAATGAATCATACTGTAAATATCTGATATGTAGGATATATTTTAATTGTTACAAACTGAACATAATTAAAGCATAGTGATTAATCACAAAACAGTATGTAAATATATATTGTGAAATATTTGTTATTTTCCAATGGGCGTAGGCGACCCCTGTGAAAGGTTGAGAACACTGTTCTATACACGCTGTAGAATAGGACATTATACTCAGCAGTTTTTGGTTACTGAGTTATGTCCCCAAGTCTGGCTTTGAGTGGAATTTGCAATGTACGTCAGAACAGTAGGTATAGGTCATATCTAATGTCAGTCAAAGGTTTGTCTTTGTATACAGTATACAGTAAACCTTTCTAAGACTCTCATCGCAACCCTGTAGGACAGGTTAGAAATGCCCATGTAGGTTTCCAAGACTGTAACTCAGTACAGGAGGAGAAAGTGTTAATTGTCTCCCGCAGAGCGGCTGGTGATGTTGAACTGCTGCTGCCATCCAGTTCATTCCAAGTCCTAGCAAGGACAGGGTAGAACCTCCCCTGTGGGTTTCTGGGGCTGTAAATCTTTATGCAAGCAGCAAGCCTCTCCTTTGTCCTGCTGAGTGGTTGGTGGGTTCGAACTGTTGGGCTTGCTCTTAGTAGGCCAGCACATACCCGAGAAAGGATTAAGGACCTCAATAAAGTTTGGGCATGATTAGCTCAATGTGTTTCTAAAGTGAAAGGTGAACGCTGACAGCCTGCTGGGTGACTCCATACTCACCAGTCTCACTCGCCTTTGCTCCACCACTGCTGCCTTTCCCCCAGCTGCCCAGCTGCGCTTTTGGGACTAGCTGAATCTTCTCATCAATTGTGGGCTGTAACATAAGTGGCCATAAGTCAATCACAGGAAATATTCTAGGGTAGTTTAGCTTTTTTTCCCTTTTCCCTCAGTATCACACAACAATTTTAGGAATAAAATTTTATTTGGAATATCAACTTAAAAAGAGAGTAAAAAAACAAAACATACAGGTATATCTGGGATATATTGCATCACGATAATGCAAATCTTGCAGTAAACTGAGCTGCATAAATGTTTTAGTTTCCCAGAACATCTCTGTGGTGGGGTGGATTTTCTAAATATGGTTCCTCTACTCCTGCCTCTGGGACTTCCAGCAAATGAAAGGTCTGAAACTACGCTAATGGGGTACGTGTAACACTAATGGAGTGGATAGGGCAGTTGTAGCTGTCACTCCCTGGCTGTAAGGAGAAGCCATCTGTGAAGCAGGATGACAGAGAGACCCAACCATGTGAAGTGGTGCACATCTGAGATCTTTGTCTGAAGTGGCAGAGAATGAGACCAGAGGCACCACAGGCTATGGCCTGGCGACCAAGGGACAGAACAAAGGCTGAGGCAAGATGATCTTGAGACAGAGCACCGAGGGAGAGCAGCAGGTGGTCTTCCTGGACCATGAAAAATGTGTTCCATGTAAGGATCAAACTTGACTTGCAAAACGCCATGGACTGTCCACTGGCCAAAACAGAATTCAGCTTTCACACATTCCCCAGAGTTAACTCTCCCTGCTCATGCCCATGAACTTCTACTGCTAAAAACAGCTACCAGGAGAAAACCCAAAAGGGAAAAATATGAGAGCATATTAAATGGTTCTCACCGGGTGATTTCTAGTCGGCCTGTGCTATTTCCTCCAGGCCATGGATATGGCAAACCCATTCACTCCGTTCCTGGTAAGATTTAAATAAGGAACTGCTGCTTCCTGACAGCCAAGCATAAAAGCTTACAATTGACTAAGGTATCTGAAGTATCCTTGTTATCATGTTAAGTATAATACAACTAAAAAGTACTATAGTTACTTTCTCTTTGGCAAACTCTCATTAGGGGGGAAAAAAAGGCTACTGCCAAGAAAAGTGCGTAGCATACTGATACATACTGACCTGCAAAAACGGCTAGCATTAGTAAACCACCACCCCACAAAATATACAGAGTGGGTATCTTTTTTCTTTTTGTATAAATCATTTTATTAGGGACTCTTATAGCTCTAATAACAATCCATAGATCAATCGTATCAAGCACATTTGTACATATGTTGCCATCATCATTTCAAAACATTTTCTTTCTACTTGAGCCCTTGGTAGCAGCTCCTCTTATTTTCCCTCCATTCCCCACCCTCCCACCCTTGTGGACCCTTGATAAATTATAAATTATTATTATTTTCATATCCTACACTGTCTGCTGTCTCCCTTCACCCACGTTTCTGTTGTTCATCCCCCTGGGGGCTGGGGAGGGTTTATACATCAATCATTGCAATTGGTTTCCCTACCTTCCCCCTGCCCTCAGGGTAACAGAGTGGATATCTTACATAGTAAGACAGAATTTTGAGACTCATGGCTTGGGATTGCTGTAAATCGTTTTGTTTTGTTTTTGAGTTTGTATTTTTTTTTAATAATATTTTTTTGTAAATAATTTTTAAATGTCACTCACCTTAGTGATTTTCAGGAATTTTGAGGGGTCCAGTACTCGACTATTCTTGGTCCCCTGAACGGTGTTCCAGCCACCTTCATCCACTCTCTGGACACCTACAGAGAGAACAGAATGAGCCACCATCTCTCATCTGTCTCAAGTTCATTTGGAACTGAAAGAACAGGCATGTTTTAAACTCAACTGTTTCAATCACAAAGGAGCGGGGAAAGGGCAATTGTTTCTCTAACACCCCCAGTCTGAGGCTGCCAAGCAGAAGCACTCTGCTCCAGACCTCCCATAAAACCTAGTTGACAGAACGGACACCAAGGATGGAGATTTAGTGCTGGGTAAAGAAGGGCCAATTTCAGTCTTTTAAGAGTTAATGATTAGAAGACCTTAAGTGAAGTTGGGTGACAATGATTTATTTCCAAACTCATTTCACTGAGCATTATCGAATCACACAAGCATGCGAAGCTTGTGTTCCCGCTCCACAAACCTGCTTTTGTCCAAACTTTCAGTGGCTCAGGTCAAAAACTTTGAGTCCTCTTTCTCTCATACTTCACCCCCCATTTGTCAGCAAATTCTAAGAGTGTAACAGATGGTGGGTGGTAAACTGGATTAAGCTACTAACATCTATCTCCTTCCTGGATTCCTGTGGAAATCTTCTCACTGGTCTCCCCGTTTCCACCCACAGCCACTCTCTATGACTGCCTCAGACGGTTTCCTAGGCTGTAGATTTTACAGGAGCAAATCACCGGGTCTTGTCTCCCATGGAATCCCTGAGTGGGATTAGTGATTAGTGCCAACCTTTTAGTTGGCAGCTGAGCACTTAATTGTGCCACCATGACTTTGATAATAAAAAAGTGTAAGAAAGAACATGTCACTTCTCTGCTCAAAACACCTTTGCTTTCCTCCCATCTCATTCCAAGAATAAGAGATAACGGTACTTACAAATTACTTTTTTGAGGCGGGGGGCAGGGGGAGGTACTAGGTAGTATTAAGTAACTTCTGGCTCACAGTGACCCTGTGTACAACAGAACAAAACACTGCCTGGTCCTGCACCATGCTCACAATTGCTGTTACGTTCAAGTTTGTTGCTGTAGGCCTGGTGATTGATGATCTTTACCAAGCATGATGTCTATTCTCCAGGCCTAGGGTCTGGTCTCTCCTGATAACATATCCAAAATTAAGTGAGGAAAAGTTCACCATACTCCCTTCTAAGGAGCACTCTGGCTAGACATTTTCCAAGCCGGATCTGCTTGTTCTCCTGTCAGTCCAGGGCATTGGTGCTGTTAGGTGCTTGCCAGCTAGTCAGTTCTGAACAGAACAAGACACTGCCTGGCCTGTGCCAGCCTCACAATTGTTACTCTGCCTGAGCCCAATGTTGTAGCCACTGTGTCAAGCTTTCTCCGTGAAGGCCTTCCTCTTTTTGGTTCCTCCATTACTTTACCAAGCATTACCATTACTGCTCCAGGGACTGGTCTCTGCTGAAAACATGTCCCAAATATACAAGACGAAGTCCCACCATTTCTGCCCCCAAGAAACACTCTGGCTGTACTTTTCCAAGATAGATTTGCTGGTTCTTCTGGCAGTTCATGGTACTTTCAATATTCTTCTCCAACACCATAATTCAAAAGCATCAATTTTTCTTTGGTCTTCCTTATTCAACATCCAGTTTTCACATGCATATGAGGTTTGGGTCAGGCATATGTTAGTCCTCACAGTAAGCTCCCCACTTTTCAACACTTTAAAAGAGGTCTTGTAAAAAAAAAAAAAGAGAGAGAGAGATAGGTCTTGTGCAGATTGACTCAATGCAATGCATCCTTTGATCTCTCGACTGCTGCTTCCATGAACACTGATTGTGCATCCAAGCAACTCCAACCCTTTCTCCATTTACCACTGTTATCTACTGGTCCAGTTGTGATGATTGTGAGTTTTCTTTTTTCAGTTTTAAGCCTCCGTACTGAAGGCTTTAATCCTGGATCTTCATCAGTAAGGGCTTCATGACCTCCTCACTTTCAGCAAGCAAGGTTGGGTCATCTGCACGTTCCGGATTCTTCGGGGTTTTTTTGCCTTACGGATTCTTATTAAGTTTTCCTCCATTCTTGATGTCACATTCGTCTTCCATAACTAAGCTTCTGCCCATGGTACATAAAATTATAGGCTCTGCCAACAGCATAATTCAGATGTACCAATTCTTTTTCTTTCTTATTTATTGTCCAGTTCTCATATGCATACAAGCCGATGGAAAATACCTTGGCTTGCGTCAGGTACACGTTAGTCCTCAAAGTGACATTTCTGCTCTTTAATGTTTTGAAGAAAACATTTTTTAAACATAAACTCTTTATTTCATTGTAATAAAGGTACAAAATGACAGTATCTTTGTACTAGCACATTTCCTCCTACCTCCCTTCTTCAGAACCTCAACAACTGTCCCAAGAAACGTAAAGGTAGTTTCTTTTCTGGAGGACTCATCTCGTCTAACAACTTCATCCTAAGTTCTACTCTGTCTGTGACAAATAACAGCCACCGCTGCTTCTGTGTCGCCTCCAACCGAAGCACGAGAGAATGCAAACTGCCTGGTCCTACACCATCTGCATGCTTGCTAGCAAGTCCGCGTCCACACTTGTGGTTTCTGCGGCAATCCACCTCACGTTTGCTGCTCTCTACGTCACCACATACAATGAACCCCTAGTGCCTGTACCTCCTGATGAAGTTCCAAAGCAAGGGAATTGGACAATGTTCTGTTGAGTGATAAGGTTTCCACTAGCGCCCTGATTAATTTTTGAACACAGATAATCAGAGCTTCCTTCTTAGTCTGTTTTAGTCTGAAGCTCGACTGGAAGCTGTCTCTCTTGAGTGACTCAAGTGGTATTTGAAAGAGAAGTGGTATAAGTTCATGCATCAGAGCAACACACAAGCCACCACAGTATGACAGACCGACAGATTTGTGATAAATAACAGCAAATAATTATTGAGCATTTCCTATGTACAGTGCTATGTTAAATGCTTTACATGTATTTGTATTGCCTTATTTGATCTTCAGACAGACACTTTGTTCTACAAAGTGACTGAGATAGGGTCAAACACTTAGGAAGCAGAAGAGCTAAAATTCAAATTCAGATAGTTTAGATCCAAAGATTATGTTGTCCAGCATTATACTACACATGCCCAGTTACGCCATGATCCCCTTTCACTGCACAGTGGACTAATAAGCATTCCCATTTGGATTCCATGTGGACATGTCAACATAAATAGGCTCAAAGGAAAAAGGGTTATTTCTCCTCCCGGAAGGGAATAAAAAAGATTTCCTCTTTTCAAATTCCTAACTTTTTCAAGGAACCATTTTCTTAAGTGAAAAATGCATTTTACTTCATTTCTTATGGTTCTTGTATTAGTTTTTCTTCTTTCTATTCTTATTACTCGGATAGTGCAGTGGCTTACACACTGGGCTGCTATCGGCAAGGTCAACAGTTCAAACTCACCAGATGCTTTTCAGGAGCCAAGATACGGTTTTCTGTTCCTGTGAAGATTTACAGCTTCAGAAATTCAAAGTTCTACCTGTCTGAAAGGGTCACTATGAATCAAAATTGACTAGATGGCAGTGAGTTTTTTTGGTTATTCTATCATTATCAACTCTCACAGAGGATTTTAGCAACAGCAACATTGCTGAGTTCAGTGGATCCATTAATAGAAAAAGCATATCTAATACCTCAACATGACATTAAGGAATCCAGGTAGGGCAATGATTCTGGTACAACTGCTAACTGAAAAATTGGTGGTTTGAACCCACCCAATGGCTGCATGAGAAAAATACCTGGTGTTCTGCTCCCATAAAGATGACAGACTAAAAATTCCTGTGGAGCAGGCTCTACTCCGCCGCTTGGGGTTGCTATGAGCTGGGCGTCTACCCAAGAGCACCTACCAGCAATGAAGCCTGACAGTACTACTTAGCTTCCAAATGTAGAATGTTTTCAAACATGGTCATTACCTAAAGTAAACTGTCTAAACCTGGCCCCACTCTTTCAGACAAACTCCTTCTGAACACCTGAAACACTTCTTACATGATATGTTTATTTTAGTTTCATGACTAAAATTCTCCCTCGCCTTTCAAATGCCAACTGCTTTAAGACCCAGTTCACGGGCTCCTTCCTGAAATAAAGACATTATTTCTTTCTCTTTCACAACCTTAAAGATAATATATTTCAAAAAAACAAAAACAAAAACACAATACATTTCATACCACTCTTTTCCATTTGCTCGACAAATATCCCATTAGTCTTGCCTTCCCAGATAAACTATAAGCTTTTAGAGGAAAAAAGCGTGTCTCTCATTGCTTTTTACTTTCATCAATACTGAGTATGTACAAGAGGCTCATTAAAATCATTCTTACTGATTTTAAAACAGTTAAAGAAACTATGGTTAGTACCC